TGATGCTCCCAGAGTTCCACTCACAGAGAAGTAGCGCGTGCCAACTAGGAAAAAAGCGCACGGCTGTCTTCTGATGGAAAATAATTCTTGGTTTCCAGAGTGCAGTCATACTATTATAAATAATTATAAGCTTCAGTTGGTCACTCACCTCTTCCCAGGACACATGGGAGCAGGGCGAGGAGCACAAGCAGCTTCATGTTGCCGGTAGTCGTTTGCTGTTCGTTGCACAAGACAAGAGCTAGAGAAATCTGAGACGCCACCCGAGAAGGAACCTTCAGAAGTGAAGTAAAGAAAGTGAAGCGTTGCCGATTTAGCAGTAGGCGGGCGGAGATATCGTCGTCACGTCAGCGTAGCACTGTGGTGCAGCCAAGCCAGTTACAGTAAGTCTGGGTCGAACGATGCCTCTACTGTGCTGTAGTGTAGCTAGCTGCAGGATGACACTTGACAGTTTTCACACACATGTAGTCTAGTACATCACGGTTACTGCGCAGGCGGTCAGCAGCTTGCAAAATTTCTCAATCCTTGAAGAATGAAGGCACGTTGAATCCCCGTTTGGTCCGGGCAGATCTAAATCTGCAAATCGGGTCTCCGACACTCGGTATCCCGCAGGTGGTCACAGCACTTCCTAGACCCTATCTCATGCTCAGTGTCTGCACTCCTACATACCGCCGCATTACCGGTAGTATTTTTCCTGAGGTGACAATGACATGACTGAAGTGATGTGGAGACGGTCTTGGCAGGTCACGTTGCCAGAAACCCGCACGCCTGACCTGCACGCTCCAATGTCTGACGTCAGTATGGCTTGCAACACTCTGACTCGGACGCCACGCGCCAGTGCGAAAGACAACTGACTAGCGACTGTGACAAGTGCGTCGGAGCTCCGCCAGAGTTCCAGCACGGATCATGATCTGGCCTGGGTGGGCTGCACACTGGTCAGTGGTAGATCTACTGGTAGTGGTAGGCAGATCGTGGAGCCCAGGAGGAGTAGCATTGTAAGCACTGACAGTGACATACATGCGCCGGTCATGTGATGATCTGCCAGGTAATGAGTGTTGACTATTCATAGTATTGCGAGTATTGGAGTAAACGACTAACACTTACGTCCTCATGCCATGGTCGCCTCGTGCCTTGGTCATTGTAAGGGTCTTTGGCATTGTGGTCATAGCGACAGCGAGCCTCTACTCTGCAGTGCAGATCTGGTTCTTGTTGCATAGGAATCTTGAGTCTAGCTTGTGATGCATAGCTGTCTTGAGTCTAGCGTGTGATGCATAGCTCAGCTGTCTTGACTTGAGTCTAGCTTGTGATGCATAGCTGTCTTGAGTCTACCTTGTGATGTGTTTCCTTGGAGGGAGTCCAGGTCACAGGACTGACAACATGCCAAGTCATCAACTGTCTAAAGTAATAGTTCAACACCCAGCAGACTCAAGAACAGTCAGTACAGTAGTGGTGCTGACCCCTTGTCTATGGATGTACAGTCATTGTACTTACTTACTAATACTGCGACAGTGCCTGCATGCTAAATAAGTACTAGAGTAGAGTAACACTGCAGTGGTGTCCGTAGCTGTAGGAAGCAGACCCCTTTTGATAGACCACCAACCGTTCAGTCATCCTAATAGAGATAATAATTACTTGCACTGGTCTAGGGATGTCACACTACCAGTGCGGCAGTGGGTCTACTGCTACACGTACTGAAGTATGCATGTGCTCAACACTGACAACAGATCTTCACAAGACACAATCATACTGTTAGCAGACCCGCCATGCACGCATCAGCAGCAAGGACAGTGTGTTCATGCGCACGTGCACACACACACACACACACACACACACACACACACACACACATATATGCACAGGATCTAGGACGGCATGGCACAATCACAGACACGTGTCGACCCTTTTGGCCTCGTCCCCTATTTGGCATTTTCTTCTCGTGCCAATCATGGGCATGGCGTGCAGTTTACCACTCTGGTAGAGCTAGCCATGTTTGGCATGTAGACCTACATTGTATACTGTAGCAATATCACGATAATTACAGCATAATAGTGATTTGAAACTCGGATGTTGAGCCATAAATAAATGTAGAAGAGAAAAGGACATAATTTATGGATACGAGTTAAGAGGCTGTATAATAGTATCTTGTTACAGTGATGGAGAGTTACTCTCGTATCCATATGTCCTTTTCTCTTCTACAATAGTGATTATTATTATTATTTGAACAAACGGCGAGGAGACAACAATTTGATAACCGCAATCAGTAATTGTTGTACGAAAACTTGTTTGAATCCCTTTCTTTCTCTACACAATTTCTTCACATTTTTCATCGTTTTATTGCACATTGTCTCCACAGTTTTACAATACATGAATACAGTGTACACAAATGTCGATCCAGCTTGTATTACTGATTGCGGTTATCAAATTATTATTATTATTATTATTATTATCATACCTGGTAAACTATCAAGCAAGGCTTGCATACGCGTACCATGGTCATACATGGTCATGCTGATCAGTTCTTGGACATGAGGCCAGCCCCATGCAGCTGGGCCGGCCCAAGCCCCAAAGCACATGGTCCTCAGACTGCAATATGCATAAGGTGTGACGAACAGTTGGCTGCTGTAATGTGTAAGGCATATTATGGATACTGTTGGATACCATGCTATAATTATGACTGTATAGTTGTTCGCTGCCTGTAGGATTGTTTTGACCCCAGTTTACTGGCAGCATGCATGAAGGTCAGGCTTGGGCACCCTGTAAGAAGGTCTGTTGGGAATGCCCAAGTAAAAATAATAAAATGCAGTACAGCATACAGCTGTCTACAGCATTGGGTAAAACGCAATACAGCATACAACTGTCTACAGCATACAGTTGTCTACAGTATTGGGTAAAATACAATACATGTTACCAAGAGTACATGTACTCTTGATGTTACCAAGAGTACATAACCCCCCATGTACTCTTGATGTTACATGTAGTTACAATACACCGCACGCATCCGCCAGTTTCCACACAAATACATTGTAGCTGCACACACGGTGTGTATGCATGGCTAGGGTACCCTGTAAAAAGGCCTTAGGCCTGTGGGGATTGCCCTATTCAAAATTTAAATAATAATAATAATAATATACTGGCTGGTTTTGAGGGAAAGAGACAAACAATAATATTCTGATATTTCCTTTGTTACCTGATATTATTATTATTTTTAATATTATTAAATTTTTGATAGGGCAATCCCCACAGGCCTAAGGCCTTTTGACAGGGTACCCTAAAAAATGAAGAACAGAATTACGGAAGGTATGCAAGGATGACTCTCTGATAACTTTTTTATTGTGCATACTTTTCCCCGTAATCCCCAGTTATCTACCCCCCCCCCCCCTGCGTATTCTTTGTAAGGCCACCCTTTCTTTTTTCGTTGTTTAACGTCCGCGCCCGCGTACCTTTTTGCCTCCGACCGGAAAAAAAAACAAGAAAGTAGTAGTACCAATAATATGCGAAGTTGTAAATACATGATTGTGTAGTTTCACAGTGTGCCGATCATGACCTTAAACTTATAATCTTGCCTCCCGGGCATGCCTTTGTCTTGTGTTCTTTTTCTTTTTTTGTTGGCTTTTAAATATCGTACGGTGTGTGCCCTAGTAAAAATCCAGATGTAATGAATTCATGACATGCTAACTCCATGCTATGTACCTGTTTTGTTGGATTCATCAGGCATGTGCTCCAATGTACCATCAAAGAGTGTTGTTCTATGCCTGCCAGTGCCGTTAGACCCAGAAATATTGTATATATCACATGCTTTACTGGTCAATATGTTTGATTGTGGTTTCCAGTTTTTGGAATGGGCTTTTGTTTTTTTTCCGCCCTCCCGCGTATCTTTTCGCGAAAAAAAGGACGTTAAACAATGAATTAACAAAGGGTGGCCTAATAATTATTTTGTTTTTGTGGAGCGCTGGGGTTGCAATGAAGCCGAGACCCTATGGTCGGTCAAGCTGCCCCTGCCTCTCCCCCACTCCTGCCATTCCATATGTCTCATCGCTGCCTTGCTGCTTTGTGCCATCAAATGGTGTGTGGTTTTTTGTAAAGAAAAAAAAAGAAAAAAAAGGAAGAACTAGAGCGGACCTCCGCTGGGAGGGCATTCCAGCGGTCAGAGCCAAGGAAAGTGACAGAAAATAAACCATAGCGACGTTTGGCTGTCGGAAGAGCAAGGGAAGAGGACACTTGAGAGCGGGTGCGAGAACTAGTGCAGGTAGAATTAGAGCGGAGACAGAAACAGTTAGCAACAAAGACACTAGCCAGATCATGAAGCGCACGATACGTTAGAACGTACAGCTTGAATTGGTACCTGACAGACAAGGGAATGATATGGTAGCGGGAAAGAACAAGGGAGACATCAGATAGGCGGGGCATGCAAAATACAATACGCAGCGCTCTATTGCTAAGTCGGACAACACGGTCATGGAGGGAGGCAGAAAGGCAGTGAGCAAAGGAATTAGACCCATACTCAAGTATGGACTGAATGGAACAGACGTAGAAAGCCCTCTTAGCATCGATCGTTAAATGGTCTCGGACCTTTCTAAACATTCCTAACTTACAGCCTATTTTACGTTCTAATTGTGCAATGTGAACTCCAAAGGAGAGATGTTCGTCAAGAACTATACCGAGGTATTTCACGTGTGCACTAGGGGTGATGGTGACATCTTCAATCTGTACGTTGACATCGGGGTCAAGAGGTTTCGACTTTGGCCTGAACACAACAAGCTGGGTTTTCGAGGAGTTCAACATAAGACCTCTCGTTGCCAAGAATTCCTTTACTTTGATGATGTCTTCTGTGAGGTCTTTGCATAAGTTCTGGACATTCTTCCCCGCCCTGTATAAAGACACATCATCTGCGTATTGACGGGCTTTGCAGTGTTTGGGCACAGCGGGGAGTTTCCTCACGGACAAGTTAATTAAATAGAAACGGCCCTAAAACAGAGCCTTGTGGAACGCCTCTGTTGCTTGTGTATGGTTGCCCTTGTTGAGTCTTAGTGACCACGCACTGCTGTCTGTTTGTAAGGTAGCTGTGAAACCATTGCAGAGCGACTCCGCCAATACCAATCTCAAGTAGTTCTTGAAGCAACATGTTGTGGTTGACAGTGTCAAAGGCCTTTGACATATCAAGGAAGGCAGCCACTACGTAGTCACCCTTGTCCAAGGCGAGCATCCAATCGTTGGTAACACAAGTCAGCAAGTCTTCGCAGGAGTGGCCTCTGCGCATGCGGTAGGCGAATTGCTCTGCAGGGAGATGTTGCAGTGGGGGTGGTGCATTCTGGATGTAGCGTATGAGTTGATCATGTACTATGTGCTCAAGTAACTTTGACATATGGGGGAGCAGTGATATTGGTCTGTAGTTGGAGGAGACCGACTTATCACCGCGCTTGTGGATGGGGCGAACATGGGCTGACTTGTACGGAGCTGGGAATTCACCAGACGTCAGAGATTCAGATAACAACTTGGATAGTGAGGGAGCGATCTCATCGTTGATTAACTTGTAAGCAGCAACTGGAACATTGTCTGGTCCGGTGGCTTTACGGCTTTTCATGCGTTGGATGTAGTATTGCACTTCCGGAACACTGACTGATGAAAACTGAGCTAATGAGTATTCAGGTAGGGGGCCGTGAGGCATGCAAGGTGCACTATCAGAAATCGAGGGATCGTTCACGACTTTCGCAAATGTCTTTGAGATGTCGGAGACATTAGCAGCAGGTTCCTGATTTGCTTTAGCTCTGCCAAGTAGATTGTTTATAATACCCCACTGTTCTCTTGGGTGGCCTCTGTGGCAGACAAGTTGTTCTTGGAAGTATGTCGACCGTTTCTTTCTAGTTAGGTATTTGCATTGCCTGCGTGGATTTCCTTTGTTACTCCCTTCATTGGTTGATGTATTTTGCCTGTCGCTGCAAATTCTGATATTTCCTTTGTTACCATGGTTACTCCCTTCATTGGTTGATGTATTTTGCCTGTCGCTGCAAATTCTGTATTATTGTTTTGATGTTGGAGTTCGGATTGAGTTTCTTTCCTTTCTTCCTCTTCCTTCAACTATTTCTTGTCCCTTTGGTTTTTAGGTTTTATTTATTTATTTTTTATTTTTATTTATTTTTATTTTTTTCACTTTCTTTTTGCTGTCCCACGGCATGGAAATATTTCCCGGTGGGTCTGGCTTATCGCCTTCGAAAGAAGTGAATAAAGGAGAGATAATGATAATAATGGCTCGTACCGGTATGCTGTAAATCGGTAACCAACGATTTTCTTCCGGATGCCAAGGAATCCTGATAAAAGAGGACCGGATAAAAGAGGACCGGATAAGCGAGGTCTGACTGTACTGTGGCCGCCTTCGTTTCTGTGTGCAGTCGATTTCTAATCGAGTACTGAAGTACATTGTCTTTCTTCTCTGCCGCATTCTCTTCCACTCTCCTGGAGCTACAGGCAGCCAGTCCATGTGTATCCCGACAAAGAGGTTGTCCGACTTTATTTGAGTCTAAAAAAGCGCGAGTGTGTGTGTGTGTGCGTGTCTGTGTGTATGCCGGAAAAGAAAAAGAAGAAATTTAAAGCCATGTGGTGTAGACCAGGCTAAACATTGATGGTCTTTAGCATTCAAGGCCTGGTGAATGTGCAATTCCAGCACAGGTTGCTGTGGCTTATGCTGTAGCATCGCCTCCAGCGATGGGTATCTATGGCCTAAGGTGTGTGTGTGTGTGTGGGTGTGTGGTGCATGCGTGCGTGTGTGTGTGTGTGTGTGTGTGTGTGTGTGTGTGTGTGTGTGTGTGTGTGTGTGTGTGTGTGTGTGTGTGTGTGTGTGTGTGTGTGTGTGTGTGTGTGTGTGTGTGTGTGTGTGTGTGTGTGTGTGTGTGTGTGTGTGTGTGTGTGTGTGTGTGTGTGTGTGTGTGTGTGTGTGTGTGTGTGTGTGTGTGTGTGTGTGTGTGTGTGTGTGTGTGTGTGTGTGTGTGTGTGTGTGTGTGTGTGTGTGTGTGTGTGTGTGTGTGTGTGTGTGTGTGTGTGTGTGTGTGTGTGTGTGTGTGTGTGTGTGTGTGTGTGTGTGCCATATGGTGCAGTGGTATGTGCAGCGATTTCCAATCGATAGGTAGCGGGTTCAATTCCCGACGATTATGGTCACACACGTCTTTCTTCTCTTTCTCAGTCTCTTCCTGACTTTTCTTTCATTCTCCTGGGTGGTTACCAACAGGGAGTAGTACAATACCATACCATATGGTATTGTACTACTCCCTGGTTACCAACAGCCAGTGCATACCGGAGTATGTGATGTGATGTGTGTGCGGGAAGAAAAAAATGAAAAGACCAAAAATAGGGATTCACTGGCCAGAAAAGTCACTTCAAAGAGCTGTATGGTGTAGACCAGGCTGAATAGTGACGGTCAATTCTTCAGCCTTGCAAGCTGTTGAATGGTGCAATCCCAGCACAAGTTGCTATGGCTTCTGCCGTAGCATTGCGATGATAGCCTCCGGTGATGGGCGTCAAAAGGTCAAAGGTGTGTGTGTGTGTGCGCGTGTGTGTGTCAGTGTGTGTGTGTGTGTGTGTGTGTGTGGTGTGTGTGGTGTGTGTGTGTGTGTGTACCAGGCTCAGCTCGTTTGGTTGGTGGGTGCACTCACCATTGCACAGTGACATACACAAATTGTGACAATGGATAGCGGTTAGGTCTGTCACCATCAGGCTCAGCCGCTTGGAAGTACATGTATTGTAGTACTTGCCACCTGTGTCAGCTTTAGGATCCGAATACTTTTCAAGTAGTGTACAGAGAGCGGAGTCCTCCGGTTCGATAGATTGCTCAATGCGGAAGCAGCAAGTAGTGTACACATGTAGAGCCATGTACAGTTGTAGTGACCGGTGGACTACTTCTGGCTACTGCTATCTATCTATCTCTACAGCTTTAATACTTCTAGCTTCTGTAAGCAATGAATGATGCTAGTGGAGCATATCTACTAGCAAGAGTACATAACCTCCCATCATGGGCCATGGCCATGGAGCTTATGTACACACTTGCTAAGGCTACTACTACATGTACATGTAGTATGGCAGATTTACTCGGATCATCCAGCAACTCACACAGATAGGTAATCAGAGCCTAGCCAGCCTGATAAAGGCTTCACTAGCACCATTGAATACACAAAGAGTCCATTAGTCAACAGTCTCAACACGCATATAATTATACTTTGAATCCAAAGTATATGGACCCTGAAGCCAACAAAGGTTTGGCAGATACAACAATACACCTTCAACTAGCCGAGCCTGATGGCAACAGACCCAGCCGCTATCTGGAATACGTGCACACACCAACCAACCTACTAGCTGGCTGGCAGATTTACTCACAGCACCACACGTACACAAGAGTCATCCAGGAGACACACGGTGTGTCAAACTGTCCACCATGCGTAAACAAAGTTCAGATTTAATACAGGCATGATGACAGCCCTGTAGATCTACACACGGCCATGCCGAGTAAATTCACCACACCAGCACACAACACATGTTTTTTTTAAACTTTTTTATTTATGAAAAAGACCGCATTAAGGCAAAGGGCTGGCCAAAACACCAAAGAGAGCTAACAAGCAGCACAACTCCCATGGGCTTAGAGTCAGTGCAAATCAAGCAATAACATTCAACTTTGTGTGGAATCATTTGCGCACACAAGTATCACAAACACTCCGAGAATGGTCCAGTAGTGTGGATATCAATGTCAAGTTTGTCAACAAGAAGAGAGACAAGCGGCGGGGCACACCGATACGACATGTTTCGTTTGTTTGTAACAAGGATGAAGCTTGAGTATTGAAAATAGAACATTGGATGGGCACGTATACCTAGGAAATATCAAGTCACCGGTCTGTAGCCACTGTAAGCAACAGCACGCACGTGCTACGCACACGGGGAAAGGAGGCAGAGGAATCCAGCGTAAAACGATCCGTGCAAGGCAAAGAGTAACTAATCCTAAAAGCACATTTTTAAAAGGTTCATGACGGGAAATGCACTACATTCTCCTGTAGTGGAGGGAGCACATGCAGTGCTGTGCACAGGACCTCGCTAGACCCAGGGTCGTGCGGAGATACGGCCAAGGAGATGGAAGAGGAATAAAAAAAAACAATTCTATAAAGGTAAGCCTAGACTAATATTTTGTTTCATTTTCACTTCTGGTACTATTGTACTGTGTTGACCAGCAACAGAATGACTCACTATGATTTCGTATACAATGGTTGAGGAAATAGAGAGCTAATTGTATGAAATAGAGAGTACTAATTTTACGGAATACAGAGGACAAAGTATACGGAATATAGCGTGGAGCAGGTGGATCAGCCCTGCTGTATGCAGGGTAGTCATGGCCGGCGAGTGATTCTTATCCTATATGATGGACTGTAGTAGAGAGGCGACGGAGAGCACACGTACACCCTGACTATAGCCCATGAACGGCAGGTACAGATTTAGAAACGTGGTCGTGTGAGGTATAACTTATCAGTGGGCAGCAGACTGCGTACTAGGGACTAACTAGGATGTAACGCAGCATACTGCTTGGGCAATGCGGCTCAGGAAACCTGTAGCAACAAAATGGTGGCAAGAGCAGTGGACAATGAACTACATGTATGAGTACAGTCGCGATCGGTGAAATGATGACTAAAAATAAATAAACAAAATCCGACTCGAATTGCAACCTGGCGCCCTGGACCAGTTCCGATGACATGACTGTAGTGTATTGGTATGTGTGGACATGTACAATGTCATGTACGTCCACCACCATGCCGTGGTGGCTTGGCACATGCGAAACTTCCCAAGCTGGTTGTGTGTGTTTCTCAATACAACTGTATAGCCAGAGGTAACGCGGATGTGAAAAACTTTACTTCTTTTACTTTACATGTACGTTCAACCGCATTCGCACCACTCGCAGGGTGACTTGATATTTCCAGTGGCCATGGCTTTCGAAGTTGAGGGCACCAAATATGCACTTTCGGTCGTATCTCACCAAGCGCAACTGTGCGAGTATAATGTACAATCAAGAGTACACACAACACAAAGAGAGTGCAATGCGAATTTCTGCAGTAGCAGACCCATAGACTGCAGTTGAACACTCTGGAGGGTTAGGGAGTCTTGCTATAATCTATAACATGACAGTGTACTCGACAATGGTCACACCTGTCACCATATGAGCAGCTCAGGAATTCTTCTTTCAACTTGACTGAAAACATAGGACAGGCAGTGGCGTAAAGCGACGCAAGAGCGCCCTACCACCTGAATCCTTTCATGGCCGTGTTTTGGAGGGTGCCACAAGACCAAATATGTGCGTGTTTTTGGCTTGCTTAACCCATCGTCTCCTACATGGGGGGGGATTCCTTGGCTACTACTATACTTCTGCAAACAGGGAGGGCTTGTAATTTCTGTTGAAGAATCTTTGGATACCGAGTACTGCTCAGTGACATTCGATCATGCGAGTCAGGTTTGCGCCCTGCACCAGTGCACAGTAGAGTGTTCACACGTGTCTGAGGCTGCATGGCACCCGGTGTGACATTCATGGTCTCGCATGATTGGATTTCATTGAGCAGCACTGTACATGTGATTGCAAATCATTCCACTTCTCCATCAAAATCGGCAAACGTTGCCGTACGAAGATGGTGACCTTTAACTGGCTCTAGGACAACACAATAAGATATCGTCTTTTAGACACTGCAAACGTAACGCCTGTCCACTCCACCCCGCACCCACTGGGAGACTGGTGGAGTGGCGATACGCCGGGCAGGCACAATATGTATAGCAAAACTTGTCAAGGTGCCCACTCGGATGACGTGATCACCTGTCCCAAAAGACCACTGCAACCAGGACCAAGGGATGCTATTTCAAGTCAAATGACCCTGGATAAGGAGACCACCTGGTAACAGAGACCACATTTAGAAGGTCCCTTGAACGGTCGTCGTCTTAGGCGGGTTTCTCTGTACCTAATTGCATACACTTTGCGTACGTACTACTTTTTCAGGTTTGAAATAATCTGCACTCACCTGAAACTGCTTTCAGCTGCTGCTCAGCAAAGCACGAGCGGACAATGACCAGAAAGTAGACAGGAATGGAGGCCAGTACAATCAGCACCACCACTACGGATGCAATCGGTTGCTTGATGAACGGCGTGACGAGCAGGTATATGGACAAGAGGGTGAGAATTGCGGGTACCGCAATCCAAGTCTGCACACACATGCACGTGTACACACATGCACGAGTACACACACACACACACAGATATGCACACACATGCGCTAGTATATCACAGGTCATACTTGAAGCAACACAATCGTACCTGTGAGAAAGAGAGACAGAAAGAGAAAGAGAGAGAGAGAGAGAGACAGAGAGAGAGAGAGAAAGAGAGAGAGAGAGAGAGACCACACAGCTCAGATGCTGTACAATGCCACGGCAGACGTTCACACCTGTGTAGAGATGCCTGGTGACTGTAAATACCGGTATAGAGGTTATGCGAATAACATCATCACATAATTAGGATTTACATTGAGTGGAAAACTATTGAGTGGCAAACCAGGGCTTGCGATATCACGGCATTGTGACTCCATACAAAACACCTCAAACGCTGATGTAATCGCATGACCACTCGTCTATAGGACGGAGATGTAAGGATTGTGGGCACAGCTCTGCACTGACCTTGTAAGGCCGATGCAAGTCAGGTTCACGCACGCGCAGAACGATGATGCCAGCAAAGCACGCCCCGTAGAAGATCCACATGGTGAACTGAGAGAGGTGAATGAGCTTTTCTATCCCCGACGTCGGCAAGAACAACAGCAGCACGGCTATAACACACTGTATACAGCCAGAGAGAGAGAGAGAGAGAGAGAGAGAGAGAGAGAGAGAGAGAGAGAGAGAGAGAGAGAGAGAGAGAGAGAGAGAGAGAGAGAGAGAGAGAGAGAGAGAGAGAGAGAGAGAGAGAGAGAGAGTGAGAGAGAGAGTGAGAGAGTGAGAGAGAGAGAGAGAGAGAGGCAGAAAGACAGGCAAGCGGACGAGTAGAGGCGCAATTAGGCAACAACGTATATCAACTTCTCAATTGTAGGAGGCAGAGACCACATGGAAAACGTGGACAATCCTGTTTCCGGGTGCGACTATTTTCATTAAAAAATAACAAATCTCCCAGGGGGGGGGGGGGGGACAGACTCCGTGCAGCCAACACTGACAAACGAACACATCACACAGGCTCCATGCTACCGGCACTGACGAACGAATACCGGTACATCATACAAGCTCTGGTCAACTAGACAAATGCGTTGCACTCGCAACTTGAATAGAGCATCCACACAGCAACACTATACTTACAGGAAAGACCAGCGCTGGAATGGGCGTGTTACGCTTGGGGTGCAGCAGGCTCAGGAAATGCGGAAAGTGCCCCTCTCTGGCGGCAGCAAACACTTGCCTGAGTGAAGACAGCGCACAACAAACAAAGTTGCAGAGATAGGGCCAACTGCTTGCTATCTGCATACATACATCATAAATGACACCCCTGCCCTTGCAGCATTTCAAGCACTCTGGCAATAAAACTGCTTCGTCACACAGAGACGTGTGACCTGTCGTGAGGAGATGAGCTTTGGTTCTCTGAGTTGCACTGATGAGTCTTAATTAATAGGGCCAAACAGCTGCTGTCCAAGTTACAGAGTTATTGTACTCCCGAGGAAGGACTCTGACTGACAAGATATCATCTTGATAATACATGTACTTGTATAGGGCATGCGGAATTTGGGAAAAGCGACCACTACTGGCACTAGTTTGAAAGTGATGAAAGCAGCAGCAGCAGCCACGCAGTGCAGCCATACCAACACTTCTCCAGTGCAACACTACTGAAACCACCAGTGTCAACGCAAAGAACTGATCGTCCAGCCGCGTTGTCACCGGACCAGGATCTCCAGCAACTGCTAGCGCTTTACCTTCCCACCATGAATATACTGCCGGTGCTGGCACCCATACAGGAGAGAGCCACGAACAGCGGAATGATGATATTGCCGTACACTTTACCTAGACTGACAGTGACCGCAGCCTGAATGGAAGAGGACAACAGCAGCAGCAGCAGCAGCAACAAGGAGAGCGTTACAAAAGAAGACCTACCAAGTTTCAAACACGGCACACGCAAGTAGAATGCCAGTGTTCAGTGCTCATACTACTTGCAGGCAGGTAGTGTGTGTATGCTACTGTGCAGTCATGTGCACAATTCCTGACATGCTCCTTGACCTCATATCACAGCACACCATACACTGGACACTAAGAGTAAGACACCTCCTGCACTAGGCTCTACATAAGCAATGCACATACCGTATTTGACCGGTTACAAGTCAACCCTTTACGACTAAAAACCGAAAGAGAAAAGGCAGGGGTCGCCTTATAAAAGCTTTTTTTAGCTATAGCTTTTCGCGAACGAGTTGAGAAAAGGGCTATTTTAATTCTATCGTATTAAAACTAACCTCTGCAACAGCTTTGGAGTTGATAAGATCGAATGGTGACAAGAGAGACATATACGCAATGTTGGCAAGTAGGTATGCCAGTGTAACGATGGACATGCCAATCTTGATTGCTAGTGGAAGTGTTCTGCACAAAGTTGAAACAACAAATATGTGTTGCTGAAAGCCAACCCCAAAAACAGTTTGGGAAACATCTGGAACAAAGCTACTTCGGCTCCTCCACACATCCCAAGAAACACAACTGAATGGGCAGCAGAGCTCGATACCGAGGATGAGCGAGCGACAATAGCAGCCAGATTGAGAGAAATCGACGTGGGACGCATTGCCTGGTGCCAGTAGCAATAGATACCATGCCAGTGTACAGCCTACAGGTGAAACATGCCATCGCCAACACCCCCCTCCCCTGTCTCAGTGATTGTTGATACTGCAGTCCACAACCACCCAAAAGGACAGGGGTAACCTCCGCCACTGGATTCATCCACAGCCCCGGACATGGTGCACTGGGGCGAATTCAACTGGACCCATAGCACACATATACACACACAGACAGCCACGTACGTACACACACACACGTACGTACACACACACACGCACACATACACACACGCGCACCAGTTAGAGAATGAGCAGAGTACAATCATGCAGCACTCACGTGGCCATGTTCTCCATCTCCTCTCCAGCGTGAAACAGAGCATCCCTGCACAGAATCAACGCATGCGCACATACACACACACACACACACACACACACACACACACAACGTTAGTATGCGGATCGCAAATCAACAACTATCAGTTCTCCCACACTAGATACGTTCCATGCCCCATCCTGCTGGCCCACTTGGTTGGTGAAAAGCGCCAACTACAGTAAAAGCAGACATTTTAGGTGGTGCTTTATTTTCGGTAACTTCGGTGGCGAAATTTTTACCGAAAATAACCGAAAATTCCGGTATAGTACTAGTACACTTACCTGGAAAACGGGTCTACCAAAAATTTCCCTCCACCGAATCGACGATTTTGGAGAATACTGAAAATATTACACCAACGAAAATTTCTGCTTTTACAGTAGGTACTGTATACATGTAGCCAGTGTAGATGGTGTAGATAGTGTAGATGGTGTAGATGGTGTAGATGGTGTAGATGGTGTAGATAGTGTAGCCAGTGTAGATAGTGTAGATAGTGTAGATAGTGTAGATAGCGTAGATAGTGTAGATAGTGTAGACAGTGTAGATAGTGTAGTCCGGTGGCGGTTAGCCCCCGTAAGCTAGGTCTAAGTCCGGACAAGGTTTGACAAAGTCCTGGTAAACAGGCAACGACTACTGCAGAACATCTTGTGCTTCGTCAATGTCAACGTGTGCTCGGCACCCAAATGCGGGCTGGAAGACGCCCCGCCACCACCATAGATGGAGCAAAACGTGAGAGCCGACGACCAGTGGTGCGGACGAGCCAAGTCTGGTTTAGTGACATTTCAACTGCATATACGTAGATTACATCATAAAATAATCTCAGAAAAGAGTCATGCCAGCTTCACAAGCTCTACTCTGACTGCCAGCTTTGCCACGTGGCACTTCAGTAATGGCAATGTACCTCACACTCACCATCCATTGTACGCCCACAGGCCAGTGTAGAAGGCATTGGTAAACGAGGTCGGAGTGAGCGTCGAATTAGTGAAGAAGTGTTCGATGTACCCTGTGTTGCCTGCAGAACCACGGGAACAGCAAAAATAAAACAAGCGCAATGACAAGCCTGAATACGACAACACAAATACTGGTAACTACCCTGGTTCCAGCACACAGAATGGAACTGTACGATCACTCCTGTATTTCTGCATCTACAAAACACACACACACACACACATACACACATGCAGTGACACACACCACACACACACACACACACACACACACACACACACACACACACACACACACACACAGCTAGGCGATACGGTGGCAGTGTAAGTACAAGTACACCTACCTTCACCAAGATAGATGCTGCCAGCGATGACGATGACGAGTATTGCCAGCAGCTTGAAGAACATGAGGAACGTTTGCACGTGTGACATGAAGCGGACGCCGATGCAGTTGACAGCGCAGAGGCACACTGCAAGCAGGGGAACAAGAAACAGGAGACAGCAGTGAAAATAGTGCCGGGTCAATGAGAATACACTGCACAGGCACACAATATTCGCCAGGCGATCATCATAAAGGGATAAATAAAACACAAGCAGAGAAGTAGCGAGCGGCAACTTGACGAACTATCGATTGCTTATACCTGGAGCACACACTTCCTGCCGAATTCACTGACATTTGACTGACTCATGACTGTCACCCAAAGCACACGAGGAGCACACTGAGCCTTCCGCTCCGCAAACCTCCAAGAAAGCCCGACACCCTGCTAAATACACAGCGGGTGCCCCGGATGACATCCGCGAGTCAGTCAAGTGTCTGCGAATTCGGCAGGAAGCGACACATACAAACGGTCGATAAATAGCAAGCACCCCGAAGATCAAACAGGGTTGCTGTCTGGCAACAAGCAATTCACACACTCACCTATGAAGCCAACTGCGCAGACTTTGTGTGCCCAGTCCGGCGGGTCATCGGTTATCAATACCACAAAGTACTTAGCCAGGGTCAGGTGGATAATAGCCAGGCCGGCCGGGTTCGAGATCAGGTCAAATGTCCAGATGAACATGAACGCTGGCAGCTTGCCGTAGATGCGCAGGATGAACGAGTAGATACCGCCAGCACTTGGTATGGCCGTTCCCAGCTCACAGATGCACAGAGCAGCGGCGCAGGCAGCCAGCCCACAGCCCAGCCATATCAGTAGCGACACGCCAACGGAGTTGACCTCCTTCACAATGCCGTTGGGCGAAACGAAGATACCAGAGCCGATGACGGTGCTGACAGTCATGGCAATGGCTCCGGTGAGCGTGATCTGCCTCTGCAGCTTTGGCTTGACCGAGGTAGAACGCAGCAGCGGAGTGCTCTCCAGCTCAGTCTGGATGTTCCCCGCGTGGCCACCATCTTCTACAAACGTGTTGTCCATCACAAGCTAATCATGGCATCATGTGCGGCGATAGCAGCAGCGGCAAGGCGAAGCTGCGGCGGTGCGCAACTAGCACTGCACTGTCTACACATCACGCATATACCAGTGTGCACACCGCATGCACAGGTGTCATCCACACATATGCATGCATGCGCGTGTACGCACACATCATACACACACACGCCACACACACCATACACACACACACACACACATACCATACACACACATACCATACACACACACACACACACACACACACACACACACACACACACACACACACACACACACACACACACACACACGCACACCATGTTTTAAAAAAATCCAGAGGATAGACTCTTGCAGAGAGCAGTAGGCTAGCTTATGTTTGTTTCATCCAGTCAGAATATAGAATCTTACTACTAGTCCGCCCAGTACAATGTAGTTAGTGCAGCTAGCTGCACGCCTGATTTCATGTGCATTCACGTGAACACGCGTAACAATTACAGACATCTGTGCAGACTGGGTCCATATAACCCATTTTAAAACTATTTTCGACTCTGAATGGATTTGAACCGGTCCGATGTTACAGAACAACTGTTGGTTTTCGCATTTCTTTGCGCCCGCCCCATTGCGATGCCAGGCATCGCCTTTTCATTATCTCATCCGCATAGAAAAACACCCCAGAAAGGGGGGTACACGGAAAGAACATACTCAGTAGTCAGACAATTTTTGAGTGAGAACAATTCAGCTCACCGCAGTTCAAGACAGCAGCAACAGAAACACTGGTTGTAGGCTCGTTACGATAACAATCTAACTTCACCGCAGCATCTCTAGAATGTTGCTCGTTCTTGAGTCCTCGCCCAGCGGACAAAGAAGAGAGCAATGCAAACATTCAGCTCAAACTTCTCTTCATCATCCTCACAAACAAGTCATCATGATCTTGAATGAAAAGGTGAACACAGAGTGCCTACACGTGTACAGACATTATAAAAACAGGCGAACTTTCTAGAGTTGTCAGTTGAACGACTAGCTGACTGGACTACTATGCTACGTCAGTACGAGATCTACGTGAGTCGAGTCATACTCCACACATGCATTGTACTTTTTTTGTAGATATCTCGTGACCCGTACCCACGCCACGCGGTAGATCTACCACTGCACTACACGCGGTAGATCTACGCACTGCTGCTTACAATCTGTCAATCATGCTCTGGGACTCGACTTGATTTTTTGAATAGATTCTGGGTGAACTCCATAGTCATTGTACTGTCTGCTGTTACAAATATGCAGTCCTGCCAGAGAAATTCGACCTCATGAACAAGATAATACATTTACAAAAATATTGACACACACACACACACACACACACACACACACACACACACACACCAGCATGGGAACATGCAAAGAAGAAAAAAATGCAGGGTCCTCCTCTGGTAAGCCCTATACATCACTTTGCGCACTGGCAATGCGTTGCAGCAAAAGTCGACTTGAGTTCAACTTGGGACACTAATACAAAATTGAACTGTTATAGAAAACCTAAGTTCTGAGAAATAACACCAAGAACAACAGCAGTGAAATTTGCAAGTGTGAATTTTAATAACAAAAGCCAGAGCAATGAAATTGTCAATTATTCAGGAAAGTTGGTGTCATTCTGCAAATACGAAGAACAAAATGAAATGCCAGGCTAGCTAGCAGCCGACGACAAAACACTTTGGCACTCACAAAAAGCTCACCAACAATGATGCAAATATGCACAATTACAAAAGTTGACAATGTAAACAACAAGCACTCAATAGCGGGGAGCAAGAGGCCAACCAATACCTCAAACAAAGAGGCCAGGAAAGATCTAAGGTCTAGGTAAAAAGTAGAAATAAAATAACTACAATCAGGTTTGCTGAAAACACAGCCAGAATAATAACAATAGTGATAGAATATTCCCTTGGATCTACACATGTACATGGCTACACTGCTGTTAGAACTTGCGGGCTTGCCACTAGCAGCGGCCAGACGTGACAGCGCTTTAAAATATCGTGCCCCCAACTTCCATTGGTGATGGGATGAGTTGAGAGGCAGTCACTGTGGGCATGTGCACGAAAAGCCAGAAGGTAGGGAAAGACTGCAGCTCCAACAAGGACAACGCCGCCATGTAAACACAGCCAGAATAATAATAACGACAGAATATTCCTTTGGACACACATATGTACAAGGCTGCACTGCTGTTAGAACTAGTGACCTCACCACTAACAGCGGCCAGACGTGACAGCGCTTAATATCATGCCCCCAACTCCCATTGGTGATGGGATGAGTTGAGAGGCAGTCACGCTGGGCATGTGCACGAAAAGCCGGAAGGTAGGGAAAGACTGCAGCTCCAACAAGCACAGTGTCGCCATGTACACTGTTGTGAGACAGTATATCCTAGGTCTCTGCTGTTGGTGATGCTGCAGCTGCAGCAGTGGCAGCACCCTCGGGAGCAGGAGTCGCCTCTTCTGCACTGGCTGGCGCACCAGTACCCTTTATCTTCATGACGGCGTCCAAGATATCTTGCCTGGGTGCATGGTCTCCAAACTCCTTCTCGCGATACTCAAACACGATACCCTTGTCCCCAGGCCCCAGGACCAGAAGGCCACCAAGAAGTCGCCCCTCTCCAGCAGTGTTGCCAGGATAAGTGCGAGAGGCAGTACGGTAGTGAGACCAGAAGCTGGGCTTCAGCATGTCTGCCAAGGAGAACATAGAAGAAGAGTCGAATCAACAACTACACTGCTTCCCACATATCTAACTTACTCGTGTGGCTACTTGTAGCGCTCTACCGGATTTTCTTAAAATTACTGTGGCCAAAGCCTAAGATCAACATCAAACGTACAGAGAAGGGCAAAGAAACCAGTCACGCTGTGACTCGAAGTTTCACGCACAAAGCCATTATCAGACGCAGGGTCAACTGAGCCTCGGAATTAGAAGACACATTCTGGAGTTGCTCTCTTTCAAACACAGTGATGGAAAAAACAAGTTGTGCAGCACAAGTTTGATTTTGCAATGCAATGCGGGATGCTATGTATCTTGCGACATCCAAGGGTGATAAAAACAGAGGGAATGCAATTCACGGAAGGAATTAGCAAAGCGATGCTGCCTCGACAATTCCTGAGCACAATGAGGTGAATGACCGGGATCGATTTATGATCGAGAAAGCAGAGAGGAATTTCTTGTTCCGGGTCAACCCAGAAATCAGATAACACGGTCATCCGGAACTTACTAGTGAGGCTACCCCAACGTCCATTGTAGAATGTTTTCTGCAGAACACAAACACACACAGGCCAAACGCGTACATGTAGAACGTGTTGGAGAACGTAGACTGGAGAAATGGACTTCAAAACAAGGAAAGCGAGTGGAACTCCAAAGGCGACCGGGACTCCTCAAGAGCGCAGTGCAGCATGCAACACAAACGATATGTACCGAGTGCTAGAATTTAGAAAATGAAAATCTCATACAGTCAACTTCGCTAATAACGACTGCGGATATAACGACAATTCACGAATAACGACAGAATTTCCATGCCCAGAGCAAAGTCCCATCCCACTGTAATACATGTAATGAGACTTCGGGTATAACGACACTTCGCGAATAAGGACACCTTTTTGATGCCCCGCCGAGTGTCGATATAAGCGAAGTTGACTGTGATTGGAACCAGACAGGTGTACTGAAATTAACGCCACCCTGCAATAAGGTCTGGGCTGAGAAGCGGTTGAAATTTAACCCCTGCCCAGATAAAACTCCAGCAGGGTGATTTGGCACATGACGTACTGAAGTACTGATCAATGTTGTGATGACCAACAACTTTAAAGTACAAACACCTACCCCCGTGCACTGGCAAAGTATTTTGCCCCCTAGACTGGAGTGTTCTGATGCAGTGGATATTTTCAAGTAACTACTCACACTGCAAGAACCTCTGGCCTTTTACAAGCCCAGCAGCCATTAAGACCTGAAACAACTAAGCCCATAGGAGCTTAGTTCAAGAATTATGGTAAAGTCCGTAATAGTCCATACTTTCTACCTCAATTCATCAACAACAGCTGAGGTATTACTTGGCTTATACACACACCAGGTAGGACACTTCTATTTTTGATTTCATTCAGCCTTTACAGACTGGACTTTGAACACACCGTACAGTGGATTCTTGGGTTCATGCACGATAACATCTTGCTAACACATGTTGCACAGCAGGGCACTTACCTCGGAATCGAGAAAAATCTCACTCTGGAAGTGCTTGTTGAAGTCGTTGACGTCGGTGGGTCTGTGCTCATGCACAATACCGTACAACGGAACCCCAGCTTCAGTGAAGGTGGGCTTCAGCGAGGCCAGGCTAGCAGCCTCCTACGTTCCACACAATTGCCAAAAGCAGCAACAAAATTGCACCGCCGTCAGAGACACCGGAAGGCCCAGTACATACATGTGATCAGAAACACACACACACACACACACACACATACACACACATCCGTTCAGGAACACAGGAATCACACAAAAAGGTCCGTTCTTCACAACCCTATAATTATGGTGCTTCAAACAACATTATTTAGTATGGGCACACAACCTTTCAGCACATTCATACGCACATACCTCGCGGCACAAAGATCATCCGGTTCTGCGGATGACCATGATGACGGCACCGGTCTTCTCCCAAAGCTCGCCAGCAGGGAAGGCGCGGGTTGGCTCCTCTAGCGTTTTGAGCTCAACTTTGGCCAGCTCTTCGGCAGTGGGGGATTTCTGTCCAGAGGCCATGTCGGTTTGCCTGCAAACAACATAGTGCACAGACATGATATCACGATACTATTACAGGGACAGTAGTACCCAAGTAAGAAGAAAAACTTAGTTAGTGTACTTATACTGTATAATACAGCACACATGCACACATGTACACACACACCCACACACACACACCACAGTGAACACCAGTATCACCCATAGGTCACAAAACCGCAACAGAAGACTAGATTGCACATCTGGTAGCTTGCCAATCAATGAAGCCAAAGCCTGCAGCACAGCTCAAGGCAACGGACAGAGTAGCTCAGATGGCTCCCAACGGTCAGCATGTTACAAGACTGTGGTATGAACGGCTGGGACACACACATGCACATGACGAGTCAAGCAGAGCAGCATCATTACATACGGTATAGAACAGTTGTAAACCAGCAGTACCCCCCCCCCCCCCCACACACACACCGTTCTTATACAGCGCTGGACAAGTGACTAGCGCAGTGCACATGTACAGTACGTACAGCAGCCTGTGGGCGATGCCGACACCACGCAGTGACACAGCAGAACGACACGGACTGGCCAGCAAATGGTAAGCCAACATTAGCTGGTTAGAAAGATGAACTAGGTGGCAGCAGTTACGGGCTGTGAAGCATCAAGAAGGAAATGATAAAAAAGAGGACACAGCTCAAGAGTGCAGTCCATACGCACTGCTCTGAGTTTTCTGTAGCGCTCCGGGAAATGTCCAGCTCTCAAAGTGAATCCTTAGCCAAAGCCGTCACTCGACATTGGAAAGGGATCGTCACAATAGCACGTATGTACAGGAAAGTTTTTCTACCGGCTAGGCAAATGTGAAACACAACTAGCAGAGGAAGTATGCGTAGAAAAGCTCCCGTCTAGAATCCTGCATCGCACCAACCCGAAGCGTTTGCCGTTGTTTATAACCACCCAAAACAGCATACTAGCACAATGCATCCACAAAATAACAAATTTTAACAAATTAAAATAAAGAACTTTTGAACAATTAGTTACTTTCCAGGAGACAAGTAACTTTTCTCATGCTCAGAGATTAAATCTTGAGAGCATTAAAACCTTTTAAAAGTGAACAAAAAGCACCACTGAACTGCATAGTTTACACTTGAAGGCGTAGCCATGACCATACCAGGAGGGCCTAGGGTACATAGTTCTTAGCTTTAGGCAGCCTACATGACATGTTGTAGTCCTAATTCAGTACTCAAACTATCAGTTCTCAGTAGCACGAGTCAACACTACCGGGGGTACTGCATGTAGGGCAATTTTACTAAAATAATTAAATTATTTTGCTGTTGGCTAATATACAATCCAATTCGTTCAAAGAAAAGGCAGGCTTACCAATAATAGGAGATAGCAGCAACTCCGATGCACAGAGAGGTGAAAGCAAGCGCTCTCTTCCTCCACATGAGCAAGGAGAGAGGTGTAACTGACTTGTAGAGAACTGGCGTTTTGTTGCTGAGCGCGAACATGTACTTTTTATTTGAAGATGATTTCAAAATCATCAGGTTTGGAGTGTGTGTTCCGGACCGGATGACACCTGCTGCATGCAGGTCACGTCATGTCACGATCACTCTACTCGCGTTGTTTTGCAGCACGCACAGTCATGCAGCCGAAGTCACCAGGTCACAGAACTACGTAGATCTACGAGTCGTACAGTGCAGTGCTGGCAACTGAAATCCGACCGCCTGAGCGGTGGATGTTGGGTTTCTTATTCACATAATCCTTGGTGTTGGGAAGCAGGTGGCAGTTGAAAAATGGCAATTTTTCTGCATATATTTGTTGTGGTCATTTCTTAACATCATGGTAAAATAGGCCTAAGCAGCACAATTTCAAGTCAGTTTTCAATAGAAGGAGACCCTACGTATCCAGGATGGTCCAGCAAGACTGGATCAAGATCATGTTCATCAAAATACAAGCCATTCAAGCTTGCATAGCAATAGGTGTATCACCCTGATTTCATGTGCAATTGTGATCAACATCTGTTAGCAAATTCAGTAATTGCCAATGTTTGGCCAATACCAGGGCCAACACACCAACATTCCTCCTTCCCAGGCGTCGCTTCCAGTATGTAGCTATTATATGCTTCCTCTTCAGCTAAATATGTTGTCACTGGAGGTTGAAACCAGCGGCTATGACTCTCTTATACTCTATTTTACCGTAAACATCGCGCACATGCAGACTGAAAGCTCTTGCAATGTCACTTCCTGAAGGAATATCAGTCTCAATTTTGGAGGCGAACTTGACAGAACATTGGCAATGGCAATGGTAAAAAGAAATTTCACGTGACTTTTTGCAGGCGCTGGCAATGAGATATTTTACCGATTTGTTAAGAAATGACCCAATGTTAACAAATTACGAATCACCTCGTACTGGATGGTAAAACTACGAAACAGAGACCGCTAGAATGTGAACCCACCGCTCAGGATCAGGGGGGGGGGTCGGATTTCAGTTGCCAGCACTGTAGGATGCACTATTTTGTAGCGCACTAGGTAGTGCAAGTATGAACTCGTTGGCACTTTTATGCACTCCTCGAAGCCTGACGAAGGTCTACTTGAGAACGCAAAGCGTGAAATCAGAAAGGAACCAAAGCAAACCATGGTAGAGTAGACCGACATGCCTGCCGTAGACCTACTCCCTGCCAGCTACTAACCGTCATGTAAACGAGTAATTATGTTACTGTAGAAGTGTAGTGCCAAGAGTCAAGACTCAACACAAGAGGCTAGAGCACATAACAACCCCAGACTCTTCATAATAATAATGAAGAGTCCATGACCCCATGGACATGCCGGGTGGGTTTATATGAACTCTTGATGCTAAGTTTTCTAACGCACACCCATCACGACGGCATCAGGCATCATTGAAGATCGCCGTGCAACTTCATTCAAGCTTGTGAGCACGATAATCATGCGGCAGTTGTTCGAGAAGTCAAACAACAACTTGAAGATACTCAGAAGTCGACTCGGCAGAAATAGAAACCGAAATTGATGTGCCACTGCAATGCAACTGTCAAAATGATAATTCCAGCCAAAGAAAGTTCAAACCATAGCAGAGCGGTGATCGATAGAAAATCAAGAAATTGCAGCTGAAAAGGCAAGAAAAACCGGCTGTCACAAGCACCGAAATGCCGCCGGTGAATTGCAATTGCACTGAGTGTGCATGTGACGGGGGATAATTGAAATTAAAAAAAATCAACACACACTGGCATAACCAGCAAGACTGAGTCACAACCTGAAGCAAAGGGAATTCTCGCAGAGCAATGCTGCTGCTGCTGCTGCTGTAGGCCCATTTTCTGAATCGGGTACTGGAGCCTAGGAGCCTGCATGCCGCTTGGGAAGCAACATACAGTCATGTCAACACTGTCACAAGTCGCTGCTCAACACCAGGCTGGGCAATAACGTTACTGTCCAAAGACTGAATACTTTCATGCACACCACAAGAGCGTGAAACTCACTATTGGAAAGCTGGTCACATGATTTGCGGCTCAAATACTAGTCGAAGGGTAGTCAGGGACACGGCTATTTCAACTGAGTATTATCGCAGTAGTCAAGGTCCAGCTCAACTATGCCTGAAACTCCATTCCGTACAGAAATGCGAGTATGCGAGCTGGAAGAAATGTGCAAGCTCACACCGGGCCTACACAGGAGCAATCATTTGAACCACTGCCACAGTCCCTTCTCACAATACCAAATCCCAGCCATGCAGGTGATGGCTGCACTGTCCCATCGAGAACGGTGATAGTGGATACGACACCGTCGGTAGCTACGTAAGTCGTAGCCGCGGCTGTGCCTTGCGGACTCGATCTAGCTCGACACGCATTGCCTTGCTCCCTCTGCGCTCGTCCTGCAGCTCGGCGTTTAATCGCTTCATCTCTGAGCGCCACTTCCTTTCCAGCTCGGCCATTCTGCTCTGCAGTTGTGCAACCTCCGCCTGAAGATCTTGTAGAACACCTAACACAACAGTGCCAGTAGGAGCAGTCCTTGCAGGCTCCACACTACCAGTTGCCAATTTACTCTTTGACGGCGAGGTTCTTCTGAAGTGCGCGGGCTGACTAGGAGTGCTCACATCGAGGTGGCCACCAGACTCCTGCAACGTCGACACACATGTACACACACACACACACACACGCACACACACACACACACACACGCATGGACTAGTAAAGATTAGGCCTAGTAAATACCATCACGTTTCCACTACCGTGAGCCTGTCAAACTTCACACTCAGTTTATACCTCACATGTACAAGCCTACTGGAGTCCATGTCTAGATTTGAAAACTTGCGGCATTGCACTTGTGGACACTTTCCACCACACCGTGAAAAAGCTGAAGATCAAACAAAGAAGCTGTGCCTTGTAAATGCTCACTTGCTCCTTTCCTTTTAGTCAATTTCTAAACACCATTGTAAGTTAAGTATTGCACTTTTGAAGTTTGACTGGACAATACAAATACTTGGGAAATTTCAGTGGACCAAGACAACACATGTCCTCACATTTTGAACACCTCCAGCCATTACTTCATGTCGGTCCATCATGGATGGCGGCTGTATCGGAGAAAAGCAGAATCAATTGGTTAGGAAAAACTTTCATACCGGTAAGGTCACTCAGAATTAACTCGTTGTTTTGGGTCACTTCACTCATCTGTACCAGGGCCGGCCGGTCGGGTTTATATTTTATTTATTATTATTTTGGTTTCTGCCATGTGCGTTACTGTTCATACCTCCCCACTCCCCCCCCCCCCCCCCGCACACACACACACACACACACACACACCATGTACCATGTACCATGTACAGTACGGATCGGCTATAGCGTTGGTGTTTGATTTTCGTGAAAATATCACTATAGGCGATATGCATACTTAGGTATGCCTGACAAATGCGTGTATGGTGTCATTCGAATCAGTGCAGCGTGCAGAAGCGTGCTGTGCATGTGACTGTGCAATACGCGCAGTGCAGAGCTACTCCCTGCGGAAGCAAAAACTTCGTGACTTTTTGACATGAGTTTTCAAGGAATTATGTGGTCTTTTTGGAAGAGAAACACTTCAACACATTCAATCGACATATCAACAATATCTACAGGATCGATTAGTGGGAGTAGAGTCTCAGTCTGGGTCGCCATCGCTCGACTCATCACCGCTGAAACCGTTCCAAGTGGCAGGTCGATCGACGCGTGATGTCGTATGTCACGGAGAAGCTTCTCCGCGTCCCTGATCGTCTTCACTGTTACCTGAATGCCTTCTCCAACATCTCGGCGGAGACCACGGTAGCGCTTCAGCGCTGGTACTCATTACTGCCTCCAATCTCGCTCGAGGATGCCCCGAAACAACAAGCACAGCCAACACCAAACATTTCGAATTTTCTCCGAGGGATATCATAGTCGTACCAGCGCTTCCTGGCTGCCACGATCAGATCTCGCCATGTACGATGTATACTTTTTTTTATGATCATCACTATAGCCGATGAAAAATGTATGCAGTAAGATCATTTTGACACAGAAATCGTATCATTATAGCCGATATACTATAGCCGATCCGATATGTATAGAAAGGGGTGGTTTACGAAAATGAATTTGAGAATACGATCACTATAAGAGGTATATTAGTAATATTACTATAGCCGACAACCCTATAGCCGATGCGCACTGTATACGCCCGTCGCAAGAGAAGCACGCAAATCTGCAAATGCACTGGATAAGCACCCACAGATTTTCTCTTATAGCAACGATAGCGAACAAGATCTGAATGAGACAGATCAAGACTTGCGCACGCGCGCACACACACACACACACACACACACACACACACACACACACACACACACACACACACACACACACACACACACACACACACTCTCTCTATGACTACCACTCCCGTCTCCATGACATTGCCACTAATCGCTCACCCATTCCAGAACACCTACCATGGAAGCTCTATTCGTAAAGCGAGACGGTGGCCGCTGACCATGTCGCCGCCCCGCTCGGTTCTGTGTGATGTGCGTCAGCGGCTTGCTGGTCACTTCTAGCGAAAGGCCGTCGCCATCTACTGCATGGATTCCAAAATCATATGTGAAGACAAGCACAAGCTATACATAGTCGGGGGCAAGAAACAAACTACAACACAGCATGCAATAGACCAACTTGGTTCTGTTTACACCATCAACTAGACACATCAGCTATCAAACACTTCCCTCACTGATGGCAAATGTAGCTGTGAATTCCACTTCAAGTAGTGCAAAATCGGGTATAAAGAAGTGCTCTGAACGGCCACATTAGCCAACGTCCAGACCCCCTACCTTTGTTCAAGCATGTGCATAACTGATGCATAAAGGTATGCTAGGGTTTTAAAATAGGCTCTGCAAATTTCTGTGTTCCTTTCAAATCAAGCTGCAGACCATACGCGCCATGTATTTATATACGACTCTGCGGTACATTGCAGAATGCATCTGACCTAGACTACTTGCAGAATTTACAATGGAATCATTCTATCATTGAACAGATCAGATTTTAACACATGCAAATACGAGGTTCGCAGCAGTAGCAGGGTCCAACATGCATGACCCCCCCCCCCTCTTGTTGGGAAGAATAGCGAATGAAGGATAGGAATGGTCATGGTGTCTGCAGGCGTGGCTGTGATCAATCATACTTTCAAACTGTTTGACCACCTAAACGCAAGCCCATGGACGCAACCGCTCACCTGCCGCGTCGGCGCTTTTCTTTCCTTCTAACGTGTTTGCACGAGGTCTGGTGATCGTTGGACGTTTCGGAAATATGCTGCGCTTCTCTTCGGGAGATTTCTTCGACCTCTGAATCTCCGGTGACTTCGTCGGTTCCTTCACTGGCTTCTTCGGAACTTTAGCTGTGGAGTAGGCAGCGCATAAAGTAACATACAGGCAGTGGAAGTAAACTGAATGAGAACTCGTACATGTGTACCGACCACCGCATCAGTGCATAATAGAAGACAAGAAACTGCTTACGGATTACTTGCAACTCAGAGTTTCAGAATGGTTTGAAAGTGGTTTCTTCAACTTTCTTGTCTTTCCTCTATCAGTACATAGGTGTGCAGGATATAGAAGGGGAACATGTCATGTTAACACGACCCAATTGCCACTGGGCAACGTCCACATTAGGTACACACCGGGTGGTTTTGCAGCTGCCGGTGGCGGTGGCTTTTCACTTTTTGACGCTGGCTTTGGCCGTGCTGGCAGGTGTGGACCCGTAGGCTTGGCAGGTGGCATGGCAGGTGGTGGCTTCTGGAGGGGAACAAAGAAGAATGGAAAGAAGAAAGCTGGCATCCCAATGTGCACATCTTCAGGCAGCCGTCAACCCCAAGACCAAAACAATGGCACAGGTCTATGTTACTGATCCAAGAACCAACCCGCTTGTTATCCTAAGACAGCAGTTATCTTGAAGGTATACATACTTGTGCTAAAAGGTCAGCTACTCGCTAAAATACATGAGCGGGAGCTGGAGCGGACACCACATGCACTACCTATCCATGACTCATTAGAAAACTACTGACAAATCCTGTCTATGCACTTGCATTTTGTATACACGTGCTAGTAGAAATCCGAGTAGAAGTGAAACCCAGTGAGTACATGTGTACATGTACTAAGCCAGGCTTTAAGTCCATCCCAAGATACGCACGTTCAACTACCCTGCCTACATACCGATTCAGATGGTTCCGCTGCATTGGGAATTAGCGCCACGAAGTTATCCGGGAAAACACCAACTTTGGTGCCGAGCTTGCCTTCCCACCAACCCTCCGAGATGTCAGTGGACAGGATTTCGATGATGTCACCCTCCTTCAACGTGAGCTCATCATCCGCTTGTTGCTCGTAGGAGTGCAGGACTTTTGCTCGCTTCACGGATTTGCTACCTGTGCAAAGGAGACACGCGGCAAGCATAGCAGCTTGTACCTTTAAGCAGAGTCATGCAACTGGACAAAGACAATCACACGTCTTCAGACGACCTAGTGACAGGAGACATTTGATAACGCGTACTAAAGTATATTTTCTGAAGATGTGCACTCAGGGCTGCCATTGAAGCTCATCCATACTCGCAACAATTTCATTCTTTTTAATCCAACTACACATTCTATGACACCTTGTGACCACTATTCCATACTGTGAAACAGGATGATCAGTAAACACGGCAAGGCGGAAGGGTGGGATGAAAGAAAATAAACCTTTCAAATTGGTCATTGATGGAGTGCAGCTAGCAGCAGAAGACTCGGGGGGGGGGGGGGGGGGGGGGGGGGGGAGGGGGGGTAGAGAGCCTGGGTCCCTCTATTCAATTTCAACCATACAGTGTATTGATGTGCGATACAGTCCTGGCCAGTGAAAAGTCACACCACCATGAATAGTCTAGTGTCCACAATGTGATGTGTGGGGTGGTGTGGTATGATATATGTGTGTGTGTGTGTGTGTGTGTGTGTGTGTGTGTGTGTGTGTGTGTGCGCAATGGGCAAGATCAAGGTCAAGGTCAAGGTGTGTGTGTGTGTGTGTGTGTGTGTGTGTGCGCGTGTGTGTGTGTGTGTCTGTGTGTGTGAGTCTAGGGATTCGCTGCCCGAAAAACCACTTCAAATAGCTGTGTGGTGTAGATCAGGTTGAATAGTGGCGGCCAATTCTTCAGCCTTGAAAGCTGTTGAATGGTGCGATCCCAGCACTAGTTGCTATGGCTTCTGCTGTAGCATCGCTATCATCACCTCCGGCGATGGGCGTCAAAAGAAAAAAGTGTGTGTGTGTGTATATGAGAAACAGGAGAGGCGTTTGTGTGCGAGCGAGCAAGGTCCAGTTCCCTATGTTATTATGTATTCATGGTGATGAAGTTCAAAAGGTAACATTAGATCCGGCAAGTACTATGCATGCTGAAATCAAAGAAGGATACTTTATTGCAGTGGGAGCCACCACTTTAGTAGAACATACTGTCAGCTGCTGGTGTCGGCGGGTGCATTGGTTTCTGGGGGAAGCAAACGGATACACAGATACACAAGCACAGACATGCGTATACACATTCTCACACATGCACATACACACCATGGACATGCACACACACACACACACACACACACACACACACACACACACACACACACACACACACATTCACACTTCAATATAAGCACAAGGAAAGTGCAAAGATGCATGCCCGTGCTCTAGTGTAGTATCCGTGCATGCACGCACCCCATCACTAGTATCAAGAGTACATAACCTCGAGGGAAACGGGAAGTCTGATTGCTGATATACGCCCCAGGACATATTTTCTAGATCATGGCATGACTTAGTGAACAACAGACCCGGGCATACAACAATAAGCCCAGGCAAGTTTGACAAGCCTGGCTATTCATGTAAACACACACCCCACGTGTCCTCTGAACTGGTCACAAGGCACTATTAGTATCTGGGAGGGGGGCTTAGCAGCCGCCCGGGATGAATATGCCTTGGTCAATTATGTTAACGACCTCCCAGGAAATTTGGTAAGCATAAGATGATGATGTGAACTACAAGCGCAGTTTAATCAAAGCAGCTCCAAATGCGGTACAGAGCGGCAATACTATTTCAGCTAGTCAGCTAGTGAAGTCTACGACATCAATGTTATACAAAGAACAAGTACAATATAGTATCCTCCGCCCCGTGATAAGCTGTCCTCATCATATAAACACCAAGTCCCCAAACATGCGAACTCGAACCTTTAATGCTGCACCGGTTGCAGCAGCTGCAGGCGGTCCCATTCTTGCTCCACCGGTGTTGCCTGCACCGGCACTGTCGGATTTACCTACAACAGACCATCACGAGTACACATCGGTGACTGCTAGTTTCTTTCTCTGCTCTAGAAATAGAATAACAACGGTAGCTGCAGCACTATATGAAAATACTTCAAAGTAGAAATATCAATTACGCATGTGATTATGCCATGCAAGTAGCATGCATGTATGTGGATGAGAAATTAGAGAAAGGAGAACATGCACCGGGGAGGGAGGGGGGGGGGGGGGCACACACCATAATAGATTACAGTGAGCACCACTGGAAACCCGTGCGGAATAGGTCACCTACAGGATCTACACCACGTTGGGACCGCAAGAGTTTCCCGTGATGCTCACTACAATCCTCGTTTCTGGCAGTTGATTGTAGTTGGCGCAAGTACATTCACTCCTGGTTCTGTACAATGTGTGGATGTGTTAACAGCAAGCCCGCAAACAGACGTAGGAAACTAGCACGATAAGGCAATAGCACTACCAGTACATGTAGTACTAAATGCTAATCTCAGGTTTCAGCACAGCCTAAGATCAGCCTAAGATCAAATCGTCACACTGCTATTACAAGAAACCAGTGTAAGTCCAGTCAATGGCTCAAGCGTTAGAAGCCAGGCTATGTATTACTGACCTGCTGTCGCCTCCTCGGCGCTAATCTCCTGTGCAAAGTTGTTTGGAAAGACGCCTTTAGAGCCGTCCGGTTTTAGTCCACGGTACCAGCCTTCCTCGTCATCGCACACTATCTCAACTATCTCGCCCACATTCAGTGAAAGCTCGTCATCTGCGGCTGCTGCGTAGCCGAAGGTCACCTTGCAATAGCGCCGCTTCTTGTTTGCTAAGCCAGCGGCGCATGAATGTTCCAAAACAAGCACACACGTACACACCCACAGATACACATGAACACGTGCTCATCATGGTACACACAAAACAACGTAGTAACAGCTCAGGACCCACACTACATCAATAGCACCGATTGCCTAACATACTCTTCAGGTGCCTTATTGACTCCTCTATAGCTTTCCTTCCCTTCGGGGACAGTTCAATCAGCAAATGGTTTCAGTTCAAACGGTAATGTTCCTAGTTTGAAGTGATTTGTGAGCTATGCTAGCAGCTGCTACGATGTCAGCCACAACATAGCAGCCAGGGTATGGGCTACAAGCAATCCGGGATGGTACTGCAATTCTACAAAATTTTGGCCTCCCAGGGCTAAAACACATTTCGACTGCATTACAATTTCAGCCTGTACTCCTGCTGCCTGTATGCACTGTCACACTAAACCTTTAAAAAAAATTCAGCGACAACAAATATTCGGCCAAAAAACGCCCAGGTGCGCCGAACGTTTGTTGACTTACAGTAGGTAAGTCGTTGCTAGAAAATCTGCCATTCAATGCTGTCAGCTGAAGCCACTGGGTGGTCCATATCAACCACTAGCTCCTCAGCCACTACCACTCACTACATGTACGGTACTCTCCGGGTTCTACCTGATAATCATGGAAAATTTGCCAGGCCCGGCACCATCTATTAGCATCAGGTAACACTGGGTTTGGAACAACATGCTTTTAAAAGTCATTTTGAGGCTAGGTACATTTGCACCAATGTGACTCACACTCAGTGACTGTGCAAATTAGCAGAGGAAACTGAGCTCATGAGTGAGACACTTTGCAAAACAACTTGATGAGGCTAAATGGGCCATTAGTGGATTGCGTTAGGCTATACTATGGTAGGAGGCTGGCGCAGATGGCTGGAACACACCCTTGCACGTTGCCACCACTACAACTGCACTGATTTGTAAGTAAAGTAGAGTCAGGCAAGCCAGTGAGTGTGAGTGCATGGCCTGTGTGTGTGTGTGTGTGTGTGTGATTCAGGGGTAGGATGGGGGGCTGGATGGGGGCGTGTATGGCCTTGGGTGCTGCTATACATACACTAACCAACACAAACTGCAACTTTGCAATGGTCAAGCATTTATGCCTTCCTAGATCGAACTGCCTCAGATCTGATTGTTGATATTGTCTCAGGAGGACAAGCTAGCTAAGCTATTCCTAGCTATACCTAGTTTGCTACCCTATTCATTGACCCTCAGCTCACTACATGTCTACTGACATAGCTTGAATAGCCGCATGATGCAAGCACCACGAAACTAAGTAGTTGCTTCCAACATTCCTACACATACAGTAAAGCCTGTCAACGGGCGACCACCTGTCCCAGAAGACCACTGCAACCAGGACCAAGGATGCTATTTCCAGTAAATGACCCCGGAAAAGGAGACCACCTGATAATAGAGACCACACTTTGAAGGTCCCTTGAGCGGTCGTCTTAGAATTGGACAGGTTTCACCGTATTATTATTATTATTTGATTGCAGCAGAACCTCATTAAAACATCTGGCAGACATATTCTCATCTATTATTAAACTTGAAACTTCATACTTTCATGCTACACATGGTTTGCATTTTACCGTTTACGCTAAATCCAACGGTACTCGTACCCAGTACCCAAAAGTCGGTCTGCTATCGTTTCGACGGTAGAAGGCTCTGTTTGGCGGGAGAACGAAACGGTAAGATTCCAACTACGGCGATTTGTCACATGCCGATCGTTTGTAGAAACGTTAATTCTAATCATGTCTTGTACACACAGAAAAAACCGATACATGCCGACGGTCGAAGTCAGGGTGAACGGTAAAATGCTAACCATGTCTAATAAATAAAATAAAACACCCATGCAGAATTATTCTAGCCTAGATGCTCACCATTGCTCACTCAATAGGTACTACTACTAGTACTACCAAAGACGTGCTTTGCCTCCTGAAAAGGAACTGTTCCACGTTCACTTAGTGACTTACTTCTGCCAGTAAGAGACTGAGGTGTTACCGCTGCTGGGACTGCTGCCACTGACGGAGCTGCTGGCACGGCAGGCGCTGCTGCTGCTGCTGGCTCAACTTTAACGAAGTTGTCGGGAAAGACACCTCTCTTTCCGTTTAGGGTCCCCGCCAGCCAACCTTCCTCGTCCTCGCGAATATCAGTGATAATGTCACCGATGTTCAGCGTCAGTTCGTCATCGTTGCCCGCCGCATACTCGAACGTTACTCGGGCTGTCATCCCTGCGCCACTCACCAACAACACCCCGGACCAGGGACAGTTGAATTATAGCCGGCAGATCATACCATGTAGCATGACATATTCTATTACCTACGCTAGGCTGGATGCCTGCCATTACTAGCATCATGGCCGCTAGCTTATCTCTCCACTCACTGCTACTAAGTTCAAGGAAGACTGGCCGGGTAAACAAATTTCAGAAGTCTGACTAGCCACTGGCGGAGTTGCCAACAGGCCCCTCCACCAAGCAAAACACAACTCACAACACGCATTTCACGCACACCACCTGCAGCAGCGAGGGTTTCGTTACATGAACATGGCTAATGGGCAAATGACGTGCCTTCAGCAAGCTAATCTCTCAGCTCATCACTCATCAGGCCAGGACACGATGGTCAGCATTGGCACAAAACAAACCAAACAAATTTTCACTAGAAACACCATTGAGCACATTCGTAGCAAACATGATCTGGTGCACGACCTCCAACAATTTCACTACGCCCAATGCGCATGGAGGGGCAGACACGACGCTCGACTTACCGGCCATGTTTACAGCAAGACAGAGCGCTCTTCCACCTCTTCTAGATCGTCCAGCAACAGCAGGTCCGCAGACCGAGTAGCTTTCGAAACCCGCTAATCGTAGGTCGTACAGCACTTCCTGCCGCAGTAAACAATTATTATTTGACGAGCACTTCTTGGTTGCACTAGGAAATATCAGACGATCAATCACGCTAACTCCTCTCATCCATAGTCATTCCTCACAATTGCCACTGAGTACATCGACCGTGTACACATTCCACAAGCTCCAGCACGACAGAGAAATAGCCATTGGCATTGGCGCTGGAACTGTGGAAGTAATGAACTTTGCGTGCAAATCGATTCCTGCAGCGCAGAGCTAGAGCTAAGCTGGAGCAAGCTTTGGTACGGTAGATCTACAGTTTGTGCCAGGTAACGATCGGATCATATCACCATGATCACGGCAGCGCATGACTGCCATGCCATGCCATGAGCATCTCACTCAAATCATCGACTCGTGCATCCGGATGTTTCTGTCAAAAAATGTGCTCTGATATCACAAAACTAGCAAAAAATATCACCACATATGTACATGTGCACACCAGACACGTCATTCGTAGGCACATGAATGATCTGACCATGATGACTATGTATCACAAAATACACCAAGCAGCTCAGGTCAGCAGGTCATGACGTCAGTGCATGCAGTGTACTAGTACTAGTAACAGTAACCTGGTAACTGTGAGTGTTACTGATTGTAGCATAACCATGTCAACTCCATACAGCCTACAGGGTGCGCCATGCGCACAGCACACACACATGATTGTACAATACAATCACATACACAGCGCGATATGACCTTCGTGGTTCAGCTTCTCATGATATATACCCAGCCAGTGCAGTGGCGGTGACGAAGAACAACATTACTTTATTGAAAAATCCATAGTGGTGGTGACAGTACCACTACAAAGTCTACACAGTCATGTACATGTACATGTACATGTACATGACTGTGTACTACAACAAGACAAGAGGGCGAATCGATTTTATTCCAATCCAAATTAGCAATAGAAACCATCAAAAAGAAGGCATAAATTAAAGCAACAGCAAATGAAGGCATGCGAGAAACACCCAATTTCCCAAAAAGAAGAAGAAGAAAGAGAAAAAGAGTGAACGAAGCCTCACACACTGAAAAGCATGAGATAGAAACCACTAAGACAAGACGTAGTAATAGTATTAGTATGGGAAGTCTACTTGAGATAATGGTGTAGACAGTAGAGTGTAGCCTGGGTTACCGGTTGTGTGGACTTTCACTGTCTAAACTGTTTACATGATTGTATACACACTTTCGCCATCACGGCATCAGGACATCACTACGAGTACGAGTATCGACCCTAACGCGCGCTAGTGACAGTCACCTGGTACACTACTAGTACTACTTACTAGTATAAAAGCTTGCACATGACTGAGTGCAGTATTACAGATATCTACATAATGTACTACCAACACACCCATCCCGGCCCGGGGCCATCCGTGATCCCAATCGATACGAGCTTACCCGTTACGTCTTCAACAGGGAGCGTGCTGCGCTGGCTGTGGTGGTGCTGTGGATAAGCACCGCACAGCTAGCCGTATCGTTCCTGCTGCTGCTGCGCTGCCCAATAGATCTACGCATCGTTTCCTTGCTCGGGTCGACGGAAGGTCGTCGGCCAGCTGGCCAGCTGCTGACTGAGATTGCGGTATGGGTGCTGCACTGGGCAGCTACGCTGACTTCTTGGACGAAGAGACGTCGCAGGCAACTCAGCAGGTGGCGGACGCGGCAGACGCGTGTCGCACGTTGGGCAGATGGTCGACCAAAGCCAAGCTAGGCAGACAATGCGTGGAACTGCCAAAGTTGAAAACACTACCGGATCCAACGGCCATTGCAAATACCAATGCTATTCGCATCATGCCAGTACGTTCTTTTTATTGACTTGTTCAAGTTGTTGCTTGCGTTTTACATGAACTACTTCAACCGACATGCATTGGTTGTTGCCTTCTTACTCAGATATCATTCGTTGAGTACGTGCAACCAATATATTGCACAGAGAGTGATGCTATTGGCAAGGGAGCGTTTGGTTCGGTTCATCGCACCTTGCGCTGGTCTGATCGTCAGATCATGGCCGTGAAAATCATGCCGCACCCCAAGGTAAGGACAGGATTCATATCGGTATACTGTACTTCCGGTTCCACGCATAGAACTTTGAAGACATGGCCGTGTGTATGTGTGACTTTGTGTGTGCGCGCACGCGCGCGCGCGCGTGTGTATGTGTGTGTGTGTGTGTGTGGTATGTGTGTGTATGCATGCGTGTGAGAATGAGTGTGTGTGTTTGTGTGCATGTGTGTGAGTGTGTGTATTCGTGTGAGTGTGGGGAGAAACTCTGTGGGTGCACATCCAGTGCATTTGGAGATTTGTGTGCTTCTTTTGCGACGGACGTATACACTGTACATGCTGTGGTGTGACGTGGTGTGTGTGTGTGTGTGTGTGTGTGTGTGTGTGTGTGCGCGCGTGTGTGTGTGTGTGGTGTGTGTGTGTGTGTGGTGTGTGTGTGTGTGTGTGTGGTGTGTGTGTGTGTGTGTGTGTACATGGTGTGTGTGTGTGTTTGTGTGTGTGTGTGTGTGGGGGGGGGTGGTGGTGGTGGTGGTGTGTGTGTGTGTGTGTGTGTGTGTGTGTGTGTGTGTGTGTGTGTGTGCGCGCGCATGTGTGGTCCAATATTTGCACCTGATCTTTCAATGTTTAGTCCTGCTCATGCAGGGTACGTTTCCCAGGGCATAATTCCAGGGGATTGTTATACAGTCAAATCTGCCGTTAGCGACCTCTGCTGTAGGCGACCATCTACCGTTAGCGACCGATTTTCCGTGCACCGACGGTTTCACATACAAACTGATCTGTCCAGAGCGACCATCTGCTGTGCGCGACCAGCGACCGCGATTTCATGCACGGTGGCTGCATTCAAATCTGCTGTAAGCGACCGCGACCCAGGTTCAGTAAGGTGCGAAACTGTACTTGCCAGTGCGCTGTCAACTGCAAAGTGTGAAAATGCGCTGTCTTGCAAGTGCGATCGACTGGCGCCTGGCCTGTACTGAGGCTGTGCTGTAGCTCTAGGTATGCCGGATTTACCATACATCTGCCGTAAGAGACCATCTGCCGTAAGCGACCGCTTTTTCTTGCACCAAGGGGCGGTCGCTTACGACAGATTTGACTGTACATGTAGACGAGCATTGTTTTCTTATAGGGCGCGGTCTTCTTATAGGGCACGGTCTTCTTATAGGGTATGGTCTTCCTATAGTGCATGGTCCTCATATAGGGCCTGGTCTTCGTAGAGGGCATGCTCTTCTTATAGGGCCTGGTCTTCTTATAGGGCCTGGTCTTCTTATAGGGTCTGGTCTTCTTATAGGGCCTGGTCTTCTTATAGGGCCTGGTCTTCTTATAGGGCCTGGTCTTCTTATAGGGCATGGTCTTCTTATAGGGCCTGGTCTTCTTATAGGGCCTGGTCTTCTTATAGGGCATGGTCTTTTTTATAGGGCATGGTCTTATTATAGGGCATGGTCTTCTTATAGCATGGTCTTCTTATAGGGCATGGTCTTCTTATAGGGCCTGGTCGTCTTATACATGTAGGGCCTGGTCTTCTTATACGAATGGACTCGGATGGAGTGCCAAGGATTTTTTATAGAAGAAAAAAGGACCAAGGATGTCATGTCTGTGTAGGACGGTCCTACCGGTAGGTCAGTAGGACCGGTAGGACTGGGGGCAAGGTATCATTATGGAAGAATCATGTGTTGTGTTGTAAACCCCATAACAGTAACACATTCAGCAGGTCGCAGATGGCAATGGAGGGGTTTGCAAAATTAATAACAACATCAGTACGCTCAGTGGAGGGCAATGATAAAATCATGTTGCAATGCCGTGTGTGCTTTCTAACCTGTTCTAGTTGTCGTGTTACACATGCAGAAGCACACGCTCCTGGAGAAGGCAGTGGAGACGGAAGAGACGATACTATGGAAGCTTAACCATCCCAATTTCGTAGCGATGCACGAAGTCTTAACCACCAAGGATGTGAGTCCGATCCTGCTGTTCTCCACGCGTCATGAGCTTGAGCGTTGAGGTATTCTGCACGTGTGTTTCCCCAGGGTATACCGAGCACCAATGCATGTACCCCCCCCCCCCCCCTCTGTTCGGAGACCATACATCACAACTGTGTGCTTAATGCCAGTTCAAGGTAAACTTGCAGGCCGATTTAGGCCTAGTTTCAGAAGCATGCTGCAGGACGAATTTGGGATTTGCTCATTTAGGTGTATTTTCATAAAATTAATATGTTCTAAGTGTTGAAGAGCACACCAGTATGTAGCAGTTTTACAGGGTTTAACGTTACAAGCCATTTCATGATCAGAGTACCCCTTGTGATTTACACCTGTGTGTAGACATGACATCCTTGGTGTTTGTTATTGGGCTCACGTGTCCAAGTTTATGTGATGGTGCTGTGTGCTGTGCAGAAATACATGTTCTTTATGGACTACTGCAACCTGGGTGACCTGAGTCGCATTGTGCAAGCTATTGGACGTCTACACATCAGAGTATGTGTTGCACACAAGGAGCGTTCACTAGTAGTTCTGACTGTGATATTGTGGTCTGGTGTAACTATGACATCATTGTGATGTCCCAGTCTCCGTAATTATTTTTCCTTCAACTTTAGCAGTGCATTTATGCTCTTAAACTTTGCGGATGGTGCATCAATATCTGCCGAAACTGTCCGCTGCTGCAATTAAATTTTTTGTGCATCTACATTTGTGTCTCTATCGCCATGTGCTGCAACCAACTGAATCAGTAGGGAATGTGCACCCGCTGCACAAGACAAAAAACGCGTGCACAGTACATGTATAATGTACAGGTGAGGATTGCCTGTGTTTGCGGTATGTCCGTATGTGAATGTTTACGCAGGAAGTGAGGTTTATTATGTTCCAGTTGAACTGTGCCATGGTGCATCTGCACACGGAACGAATTCTCCACCGTGACATCAGACTGGAGAATGTGCTGATGCACTCAACCCCCAATCAGCCGTGGAGAATTAAGGTGAGGTGCACTTGAAGACCTCTCCCACTGTAGCGCATGTACTGTCCAACTCTTTCCTAACCACAGTCTAAGTGGATTGTGCAACTTACACACCATCAGTTGTTTTATTTGACTGTATAATGATCGGTAGTGAGTACTCAACAAAGTCTCTTATTGCAGTCACCAGCCCACGGTTGATGGTGAAAGACGCCAAGAATAATGGCATAGTTCGCCCTGCGTCTTTGTCAACTTAAAGGGGAAGTTAAGGCAAAAATTAAAATTTCACCAGTTGTAGTCTTCGGGGTGCTGAGTCGAATGGTCTTGGTCCGAGGAAGCTGAGACGCTCCCTTCCTACTTGAATCCCAATCGAACTCGCGCACTTCCACCGAAACTGGGTGACTGCGCCCTACTAGATGGGGATTTGTATGCAAAATCTCACTAAAAGCGCCATTTCGTTCTTATAAAAGCACGGATGACCGCGATTGGCCCATATGTTGTAGTCTTTTGGACGCTGAGTCGACTGGTTTTGGTCCGAAAAGGCTGCGATGCAGCGTTCCTCCTTTATTCCCAATCGAACATGGTTGAACAAGCGGTCACGTGCTCCTGGGTGCCCAAATCACCTGGTCACCACGCCAGCAGGCGACAAATTTCACACCAAGGTTCAACTCGAGTGACAGGAGTGCATCCAAAAAAGGTCAAACAGGCTAGTAAGTTGTACCCTGCAGGCACGGTGACCAGGTGACTGGTGTACGCAGGAGCACGTGACCGCTTCTTCAACCATGTTCGATTGGGAATAAAGGAGGAACGCTGCATCGCAGCCTTTTCGGACCAAAACCAGTCGACTCAGCGTCCAAAAGACTACAACATATGGGCCAATCGCGGTCATCCGTGCTTTTATAAGAACGAAATGGCGCTTTTAGTGAGATTTTGCATACAAATCCCCATCTAGTAGGGCGCAGTCACCCAGTTTCGGTGGAAGTGCGCGAGTTCGATTGGGATTCAAGTAGGAAGGGAGCGTCTCAGCTTTCTCGGACCAAGACCATTCGACTCAGCACCCCGAAGACTACAACTGGTGAAATTTTTATTTTTGCCTTAACTTCCCCTTTAACCATCCGCCCCCCCCCCCCCCCCCCCCTCGGTCTTAGAGACTAGACACACTTCTGGTGTAGGGGCGTGATGTTACAAAGAGCATCGGAAAACCTAGTTTTTCCCGCTGCTTGGTGGCCATTTTCTGAGCTTGTTGGGGTTTGAACGTGTACGTCTACATGCTTGGCTGCATGCCATTCCAACCATTCAAAGCCATTATATACTATTGCGGATCATTGAGCCCAAATGAATGATACTGGCACCATATTTCCAATACGTATAAGCCATTATTTTGCCACTATAGACTCAGAGGGTGTACTCTGTTTGCTGCCGTGCTGTTCAGTTGTCTGACTTTGGACTGTCAGTGATGATGAGGGAGGAAAAGAATAGGCAATATCGAGACGCGTTTGGCCCTTCCTGCGGGGACCTAAGATATACAAATACTCGTAAGTCTCTCTCTTGTGTGTGTGTGTGTGTGTGTGTGTGTGCGTGTGCGTGTGTGTGTGCGTGTGTGCACGCTCGTGCGTATACGTGTCTGTGCATGCATGCATGCGTGTGCGTGTTACATTGTAGTTTGTGTTCACTATTTGAGTGCCGTGAAAACCAGGATAGTCAGTTATTCACCCATCACGGTAATTTCTCCCCTTGCCGATTGTGTGTCCTTGACAGGTAGTCGCAGGGAATACCGCTGGGTTCACGGTGATATCAATTGCTGTGATGTGTGGCACATGGGAGTTATCATGTATCGACTGTAAGTAGCACCATTATTAGCAAGGCTATGTGAGAATTGCAGTTATAGCGTTGGGCTTCGCATACTGACCCTTTCAATAGCCAGCCGAGATAGTAATCTTAATCATTAGACGGACTGCTAATGAAATATAACTTGCATATGATTCCGAGACCTCTGGTCGGATGAGCTTCGCCAACACACACATGGGCACATCACCCCTACCACCCTTTGTCTTGCTGTACAGTGTCACTTCTCTTGTCCTCTTTTCCTGATTGTTAGCAGGGTTGTGATTGCCAGTAAATAAAAAAAGGCTTACCGCTAGTTCAGTATGTTGCCTGATTGTGAAGTCATGTCAACTCTCTTTGCATTTTGTATATCCCTGCTGTAGTCATCATTTTTTTCCGGATTCCAATTAGGATAGCATGCAAATGCTTGAATTAGTGATGTTCAAATAAAATCCTGTGTCTTTGATGTGATGTGTTGCTGCTACTGCTGCTGTATTATAGCATCACCGGTGATGTGAATGCAGACGTCAGAGAAAAGCTCGATCATTCCGGCATTGACCTTTGGGAGCCGTGCTGGAAAGAGGTGAACTTTGAAGGTATGGAACTCGCATTGTCCATGTAACTAGTGTACAAAGCTTCAGTACATGGATTCACTATAATTATACAATTGCATAATGGTATGACTATCAATTCTGTTTTCTATGGATAAGTAGAGATGACACAGAGCCATGTACTTGTAGCAATACAGTGCAACTCACTTAGTACACTCTCTGAACAAATACTGAGTCTTGTTTAGTACGGACCGTGTTCGGAGCACGAGCGTACTGATCCATATTGATGTACTAGTATACCTCGGATACTAAGTATACCTTCCTGCCCAGCATGTGGGTACGTTTTATCAGAGTTCTACAAGTGCGTACAGTACTGTTGTAACTCGCTTTTTCTCGGAGAAAAAGTACTGTGAGTCTGACTGTATAGAAAAAGTACTGTGAGTCTGACTGTATAGATGACTGTCCAGTTCGAGAAGCTTGAGCCGACTAACGTTAGGTGTGTGGTGCCGCATTTGATCTCTGTCCACAGCCACTGACTACCTGTGCAAACTGCTGAAGCCAAACGGTGACGAGAGAACGTCGTCAACCAAGGCATTCAAGCACTCGTGGTTGAAGGTATGCCAGTAGTGGGTCATGCTGCATTGAACTCCACTTTACTGCACCGTGTGGAGTGCTGTAATTTAATACAGCTTGTTTTGCGGTTTCAGCGAAAGGAGTGCTTTCGCTAGAGTTTAGTAATGCCATATCGAAAAATTGCATGTCCTGTCTTCCCACATGAAATGCTGACTGCTACGAATATATCTTGCAAAATTGTGCTGGGTTATAATTATAAATTGCTTGAGTTTTCACCCATAGAAGTACAGTAAAACCTGTCACAGTGACCACTCACTCTGATAAGGTAACCACCTGCCTAATAGTAGTAGGCCATTCACACGACGTGCAAATTCACTTTTATCGTTCCGTTTCCAAAGATATTAATTTTTAGTATTTACTCGCATACGATAAACTTGGATACACACGTGCAACTGATTTTTGAACTTGGCAGGGGCCTTTGAGCTCATGATTATACTTTGCACACGAGCAAAAGTGTCAGTTGTTGAAAGTGCGAGCAACAAATGCAATGCATGTACTATTATTTCTAAAAGCAAAATTAAAAAATTAAAATTTCCCGGCATTTTTTAGGAGATCACTGCGGAAACATTGACGCGTGCAGAGTTTTCCCAGCACCGTGTGAACTGGATCATGGTTTGCAAGTGACTTCTTGGTCACACACGTGCATGTGTTTGCACGTCGTGTGAATGGCTTACAACAGGACCACTACAACTGGGACTAATGTGGCACAAGGGCCCGATCGCCAAACTTCGTGCCCATGGTGTCTCCGGCTCCCTACTCGCCTGGATAACTAGCTACCTCTTGGACCGAAATCAGTGCGTCACAGTAAATGGAACCTTATCTGACCCCGAGTCTGTGACATCCGGAGTGCCTCTGGGCTCCATTTTAGGTCCCCTGCTCTTCCTCACATACGTTAATGACCTCCCCTATTCAATTCCCAATACTTCTTTGTTTGCAGATGATACCACTGTCCTTGCTTCCTCCCCATCTCACGCCACCCTGTACCCCAAAGTTCAGACCTGTATCAACGACATTGTTCACTGGATGAGCACTTGGTACCTTAAGCCAAATGTGACCAAAACCGAGCTCCTCCTTTTTCCCCCTCCCACAGATCCAGTGCCCATCTTCCACTTTCCCGATGATCCCGGTCACCCTATCTCTGTAGCGCCCCACCATAAACACCTTGGCATTGTCATAGATTCCGCCCTCTCCTGGTCTCACCATGCTGATCATGTGTCGTCCAAAGTATGCCGATCTGTCGACATAATGTCAAGTCACTTGTCCCATTTGCCCAAAAATCGCCGGATTAATTTTTATAAATCATACATTCTTCCCCTCTTCACGTACAGCTTCCCTGCCTGGTCCACCATTAACAAAACCCACATAGGTAAATTAGAAGTTCTCATCGCGGTATACTGCGCATCATATTTCGTACTGATCGTTATATCACAAATCTAGACTTGTATGCTGCTGCATCCACTACCACTCTGCAACATTACCTTGATGCTTCCAAGTGCACCCTGGCATATTCAATTTTTCTTGACCAGCACCCTGCTCATTTACAGTCCCTTAATTGGTTCAATTCAGGTGGCACCACCCGAAGCTGCGTTCGTCTCCCCCTAGCTAGGTCTACCCTATTCGTAAATTCCCCTTTCTTTTCCTCCTACTCCACGTGGCTCCAACTGCCTCCCAGTGTTAGACAAGCTCCAGATATGCCCAAATTCCGTACCCTCGTCAGACAGCACTTCAGTATCTCCCAGTAAACAAAGTCACAGTCACCACTTCCGCTGCATAGCTCGCTGAGCATCCCATTGCTTTTTAAGTTGCTAATCCCTTCCCACTTTGTGTACGTGCTCTTCATTTTCTTTTTTTCTCTTCTTCCGTGGTTGGTCTCACCCTCTGCTCAATTCAATTGGCTGTCTTGACATGCCACGAGGTGCAGAAATAAATAAATAAAAAATAATAATAATAATAATAATAATGTTACTGGTTTGAGGGAAAGAGACAAACGGGAAAAGTCTGAAGAAAAAATTGACTGTCACCACCAGGACTCGAACCAGGGACCCTCGCTTGTAGCCAGCGATGCTCTAACCACTGAGCTATGGTGTAGTCGTCATCCCAGCAGAGGCCGTTCAACATTTTCTTCAGACTTCGTAACTCACACTTCCTGTGAATCCACACAGGCGGGTGGGACGCAGCCCTCACTGTAACCCACACACTTCACGTACAAACTAGCACGCGGGGAGCCCCAAATCATAAAAATAATATTAACTGGTTTGAGGGAAAGAGACAAACGGGAAAAGTCTGAAGAAAAAATTGACTGTCACCACCAGGACTCGATACAGGGACCCTCGCTTGTAGCCAGCGATGCTCACACTGAGCTATGGTGTAGTCGTCATCCCAGCAGAGGCCGTTCAACATTTTCTTCAGACTTCGTAACTCACACTTCCTGTGAATCCACACAGGCGGGTGGGACGCAGCCCTCACTGTAACCCACACACTTCACGTACAAACTAGCACGCGGGGAGCCCCAAGTCATAAAATATTAACTGGTTTGAGGGAAAGAGACAAACGGGAAAAGTCTGAAGAAAAAATTGACTGTCACCACCAGGACTCGAACCAGGGACCCTCGCTTGTAGCCAGCGATGCTCTAACCACTGAGCTATGGTGTAGTCGTCATCCCAGCAGAGGCCGTTCAACATTTTCTTCAGACTTCGTAACTCACACTTCCTGTTCCTGTGAATAATAATAATGGATCATCATATTTCCAGTCAAATGATCCCTGGATCAGTGGATGGATGAGAAGACCACCAGTAGTCCTGTACAAAAAGATCTCATTTTGAAGGTCCCTTGAACAGTCAACTTTTAAAATTAATCTGCTTAGACAGATTTCACAGTACAAGTGCTAGCATTACGGAATGAACAAGATTGCCCTTGGTGTTTCAAGTGCGCTTCAATGTAGCCACAGTAAGGATCAGAGTAAAGCAGCATACATGTACATGAATACTGTATAAGAAAAGTAATACAATGTTTCCCTTTGATTTTTCCTTATCCTTAAACTGATGAATGCTTGACTTTACTCTTTCTTGCTTCAGGAAAAACCGCCGCCCGAGGCGCGGATTCAAAACCTTCTAGAAGCGCAATCTTCTCGGTTGTCTGCTATGTCAACCAAGAAAGAAGATGTACTGATAACCATCTTGACGAAAACAGGAGGAAAGAAGAAGGTTGATTTCAAGTCCTTCCGATCCAGCCAAGTTAGTCGAGATTGGGTTTGCTGAACTGACGGCGACACGTGGTGTTCTCCACGACCGGTACTCATCCACGCTGTGCGTGCTTCACAATCACACATCTGCTTTCCTTACTCACGGTTCATGTGTGCAGCTTTGATAAGTCCTCTTCTCCTGGATTCTCCTCCTCCTCCTCCTGCTGCTGCTGCTGCTGCTGCTGCTGCTGTTCACACTGTCACAAGTTATGAAACAGTTATAGGCCATACCGAGTCGGCTGATGTTGGGACCCACTTTCTCGCCCAGTGCCCTCGTTGGGCTTTGAGATCATGTTGTAATGGATATCATACAAAATTTAATAATAGCATTGAACATTCATAAGGTTGAGGTACATGCAGTTGAAAATGGGAAAAGTCAAGGAACCAGAAAAATTTCATCATGTGTGTGGTTGTAATAAATTTTTAACCTCATGCATGATTTCACCTTTCCATTTATACCTGCATAATGCCTGATACATGGCAATGATAATCTGATACAAGCTAGTACAAACATTTGATGATAAGCTGAGCCTATTCTGAGATAACACATGACTGTGTTGTAAGGAGTAAGGATGCAATTCGTCGAGGTTCCTTCGTGTGTGCGTGTGTGTGGGGTGGGGGGGGGGGGGAGTAGTGGAGGTAATAACGACATGAACATTGGTAAGAGGTGTTTTGTGGAAGCTACTTCGCACATGTATTTCAGGGCATGATTTTCAGCAAATGGAAGCTGTACATGTGTATACCATCACATGCATGGGTTGGGAATTAACATGTATATACCATTACATGCATGGGTTAGGGATTAACATGTCCACGTATTGACAATTATTATGAGTACAGTCTGATACAGCAACTAACTAAATTTTTCTAAATTTGATTCATGTACTTCGAAGTAGCTATGCAGAAGATGTTACTTTACGGTAACGTCTACTAGTAGCGAGGGTCCACAACGATTGTGTTGTCTGTGAGACCACTGCAGAAGCGGGTGAAAAGAGCAAGGTAGAATTTCAACTGCTTCAACACTTATGCTCTTACCATTCTGCGCCGTTGGCTAGATCCCTTGTGAGAATCCGATAGTTGCTGCCGGGTGAGGAGCCACATTGAAGCTCATGTGTTATAATTATTGTCGATGACCGGTACATGTAAAGGAGAAAGACACACAAACAAAGAGATCCACAATTCTAATCAAGACATATGTGATTATGCAATGAAGCTAGCTAGACGTTTGAGGCATGCAACGACAAACCTGTAGTCTGCAAGATGCATCCATTCTCAGTCCACAGCAACTGGTTGTTTAGCTAAATCCGTTAGTTTAGGGTTTCATAATTTATTAGTTTTAAATTAAACGAATCACTTATTAGAAATTGGGAAGTTTACGGCTGAGGTATTAGCTTATTTTAAGTTAGTTAGTCGAGCAAGCTTAATGATGGTTTAGTTAGATGTCATGGTGAGAGGGGCAGGGAGGGCAGTTGGGTGGACTGAGAACGGTTGCTTCATTGCAGTAAAACAGTAGGATAGCATGGAACTCTACAACGGTTACGTTGTTGATTGAAAATTGATAGAACTATTTCTTCCACCGCCATATCATGTTGAAACGGACCTGGCACTGAATGATTATGCTTACCTTGATGGAGGATTGTCCAAGTTCGTCCATTTGGAAAGGAGCATCCATGTTAGCAGTGAATTCAAGCAAATGTGGACAGAAGAATGCAACAACCACATGCACGGACAAGCAACACACACACACACACACACCTTTGGACCTTTGGAAAGCCCATCGCCGCAGGCGATGATAGCTATTAGGCGAGGCAGTAGTTCTTGTATCGGGATAAATCATTCGGACGGCGAAAGTCGCGGCCGCAGACACAGACGAACACTCTTGGTTGGGGCTGGCTTGGTGGCTTCTGACGGCTACGCTCGCGCCAGTCCCTCCGGTCCTGTGCAAGGTGGTACCATTGCGCCTCCGGGATACCGGTCGCACGCAGGTCTGAAGCTGCCACATCTCTCCAACGACGCTTGGGTCCATGGCGGGGCCGCGTGTTAGTGCCCGGAGCAAACAGGATCTGCTTTGGCAACCTGGTGTCGTCCATCCTTGCGAGGTGACCAAGCCATCGCAGCCATTCACACGAATGGCCTCCTCCAGCGAGGCTGGCATGCCGCTGCGCTTCGCCAGGTCTCCACTTGACAGGTGTTCCTGCCACTGCTGGTCTCGGGTAACACTCGGGATCGTGCGAACACACTGTCGATGGAACGTGTCCAACCTGCGCAGGAGGGGTGCCTTTAGCGTCCATGCCTCAGAACCATACAGCAGCACTGTAAGAACCACGGCCTGGTAGACCTGACGTCGGATTCCAAGCGATACCCGAGTTCCGGAAAATTGGTTGGAGGAGGCTTTCAAACGCCCTCGATGCCTTGGCGAGATGAGTTGTGACTTCGGTATCCAGCTCTCCATCGTTGCTGATCGTACTGCCGAGGTAGACTTCCCATTGTCAGGATATGTTGAGGTATGGTGGATCTAATTTACTTTCATGCATCTACCCTGTTTGTGAATTCTATTGTTTATTATAGAGGTTATGCGATTACAGCATCAGTCGAGATGTTTTGGCGGAGTCATGGACTCCCGTGTGGACTCCCATGGCGCTGCACTTGCACTAGCGACTCGCGCTGTATACGTAGCGCCCATTAGAAAATCCGCTGACTCACCCCGTGAAATCATTTGCGTAACCTCTATACTTAGATCAGAAGCCGACTCGAGTATTGTTCTGGCATCTGCTAAGATGTTAATGAGTGTAATACCCCTGCCTTACATGTACACCGCTGCATCTACTGTGTTCTGCTTGTGCACGTCACATGGCCTATATGCGTTCCTGTTGCACACTTGCACCATTTGCAGCACCCATGAACCCCTGCGCGTACTCCGCGTCCTTAAACCGTACTTGTACTGGCCGCCCCGCGCTCCGCAAAGGTCCCCAGTACCAAAACAGGGGCAAAAAAGTGCCTACAACAATCATGTCACCAATTGGCAACATATATGCATCCAAAACGTAAGTATATTTTCCGCACCTATTGGTAGCCGCCCCGCGCCCCAGAAAGGCCCCCATGCCCCAACACAAAAACAAAGGACCACCTCGCCAACAACCGGCGGGGCCGGAGGAATCACAACCCCGCCACTACCACACAGGGGTGATGATTTCGACCGTGACAGTAACTATAGCTGTGGTCGCGCCGGGTTGCACGATAGCTCATTACGTGACATTAGCAGTGCTTCCACTAGCGAGATCCACGTCCACAAACTGGCTGCACTACTGAGAACCGGCAGTCCCAAGCGCTAAGCGCGCAGTCAAGCGAGCTCGAGTCCTTGCCGCGCCGCCGGGCTGCTCGGCTCTGCGCTGCGCGCCGGCGTCATACATAATGACCCTGCTATCAGCTGTTGCCATGGCCACAGCATGAAGAGCACCATGCAGATGCGCCCAACGAAATCCAACATGGCGTACGCGTGTCGACTTGCACGTGCACATCCTCCAAAAGCTCATCAGCTCCAGGGAGCCCTAAACATATTTGAGCAGAAAGTATCGTTCTTCACTCTGGTACGAGGCTTTCCTTGGATTTGTAGGTCGACGTCGGCACCTCCGATTCCGGCCCGGCGCTGTGCTACCAGTCCCAGCGTCACCCTCAACTCTTTATTAGAGGACGCTCACGAAATAGGCGTTCCCGAAACGAAATTTCCACTGTTCGTGTTCAAGCGGCAGATGGAGATGTTCAAGGTCAAGGAGATGGAGATGTTCAAGGTCAAGGAGATGGAGATGTTCAAGGTCAAGGAGATGGAGATGTTCAGGAGATGGAATGTTCAAGGTCAAGGAGATGGAGATGTTCAGGAGATGGAGATGTTCAGGAGATGGAGATGTTCAAGGTCAAGGAGATGGAGATGTTCAAGGTCAAGGAGATGGAGATGTTCAAGGTCAAGGAGATGGAGATGTTCAAGGTCAAGGAGATGGAGATGTTCAAGGTCAAGGAGATGGAGATGTTCAAGGTCAAGGAGATGGAGATGTTCAAGGTCAAGGAGATGGAGATGTTCAAGGTCAAGGAGATGAAGATGTTCAAGGTCAAGGAGATGGAGATGTTCAAGGTCAAGGAGATGAAGATGTTCAAGGTCAAGGAGATGAAGATGTTCAAGGTCAAGGAGATGGAGATGATGAAGAAGGACCTCCATTTCAACTTCAAGGTCAAGGAGATGGAGATGTTCAAGGTCAAGGAGATGGAGATGTTCAAGGTCAAGGAGATGGAGATGTTCAAGGTCAAGGAGATGGAGATGTTCAGGAGATGGAGATGTTCAAGGTCAAGGAGATGGAGATGTTCAAGGTCAAGGAGATGGAGATGTTCAAGGTCAAGGAGATGGAGATGTTCAAGGTCAAGGAGATGGAGATGTTCAAGGTCAAGGAGATGGAGATGTTCAAGGTCAAGGAGATGGAGATGTTCAAGGTCAAGGAGATGGAGATGTTCAAGGTCAAGGAGATGAAGATGTTCAAGGTCAAGGAGATGGAGATGTTCAAGGTCAAGGAGATGAAGATGTTCAAGGTCAAGGTGATGAAGATGTTCAAGGTCAAGGAGATGGAGATGATGAAGAAGGACCTCCATTTCAACTTCAAGGTCAAGGAGATGGAGATGTTCAAGGTCAAGGAGATGGAGATGTTCAAGGTCAAGGAGATGGAGATGTTCAAGGTCAAGGAGATGGAGATGTTCAGGAGATGGAGATGTTCAAGGTCAAGGAGATGGAGATGTTCAAGGTCAAGGAGATGGAGATGTTCAAGGTCAAGGAGATGGAGATGTTCAAGGTCAAGGAGATGGAGATGTTCAAGGTCAAGGAGATGGAGATGTTCAAGGTCAAGGAGATGGAGATGTTCAAGGTCAAGGAGATGGAGATGTTCAAGGTCAAGGAGATGGAGATGTTCAAGGTCAAGGAGATGGAGATGTTCAAGGTCAAGGAGATGGAGATGTTCAAGGTCAAGGAGATGAAGATGTTCAAGGTCAAGGAGATGGATGAAGAAGGACCTCCATTTCAACTATAAATGTGAGTTGGCTGAACTCAAAGTTGCCATCAGCAGCTTGTCGCAAAGAGTGGTTTTCGAATCGTTCATGGAAGACTTGGTACCCTTTCTGCAAGAGTTGGAGACCGTTACACCCAAAGAAAAGGCGGCGTTGTCAGAGCTCCACCCAAAAATGAATGTCCTCAACCGCGTGTTACGGCGCTGTTGGCCCAACGTCAGTGAACGTCTGCTACCAACATTTGTGATAAACGGGCAGTTTGTCACCGACTTCCTAATCTGGGACGCCGCGGGATGATGTACGGTAACCTGTCGGACCGAGTTCATACGCCGACGTTGCGACATGTGTTTGTCGTGAAGAGCGAGTCCGAATCGGTTCGGTTGCTTTTCCGCTTACTTTCGGAGAGGTACGATTATGTTTACGAGGAGATCGATGAGGGACAAGCGGCTGCAGCCGCGCTGGATGACGACGAGGCATAGGCTACTGAAATGTATGCCAGTATGGCATGGTAACACCGTATCCTACGCATGATGTACTACAGTAGCAGGGCGCGAAATAACGGTCGGACAATTTCCGACCGTTTACGGTCAGTTTCCGGATGTTTTGTACATATCCGGACAAAGTGTCCGCGCACTTTTTTGCAAAGTACAAAAAAGAAAAGGCACTTCAATCCTTTGTCTCATAGTCATTATTGATGTTGTCTGGCAAGAGAAAGCCAAGCACCGCTGATGCGGGTGCTCCTCTTCGAAAGAAGCCCAGAGGAGTCAAGACGACCACTTGTGACAAGTGGGTCGCCGAGTATGATAATTGATAGGGAGCTTTCAACTTCTGTTCGGCCGAGCTATGAGCGCAGTCCCTCAGATCGTAGCGTTGTCGAAAATTTGAAGTGTAAGATGTGTTCCCGTTTTGTTGATAAAATTCGCAGCAGCAAGAATTTTTCTGACTCTGTCATTGGCTCAAGGAACCTGAAAACGTCAGCCTTCAAAGATCATGCTGCTTCTGAAATGCATCGTCGTGATAACATTTCGATGGTATTAATTCTACACTGAACATTGTGTGATTTGATGTGAAAATTTGCATGTCTGGACATGTCTGGCCATTTTTGCAACTGGCAGGACATTGTGTCAGAGCATATTTTAATCCTTTAGCGCATGCCCTGCAGTAGTCCTTACCACAATTCCGTTACTGACTGCAGGTATTGGCGTCAGCTTCAACCTGGGGACATACATGCGCGCACATCCAAGCTCGAGACAGCCGCCAGAATTTGCATACACCAGCACGTATCCACAGAAAGCAAGAGACAGGAGACTCGGTCAGATACGGCCACTTACACAGTAGTGTGAGTCTGCAAGCTAATAGTACTGAATACTGAATAGGTAGAATGGGGTGCAAACAAAGGAGAACATAGAGGTGCACTGCATGGTAACAGTTTAATCATGATTGAACCGACATAAAGTTCAAATTTGTTTTAGTGTACATTGCACAGATATTATTACTAACCACCCATACACGGCGGAGAATGTATGTCGTTACGGTGAATTCCTTACCATGCATGTGTCGCTGAGGTAGAAGGAATCGTGGTGGTCGCTGTACAGAACATACACATACACTCATGGCCACCAGGTAGCAGAAATGCACATACACCCAGACAGAGACACATGGACAGATATACAGAAAGAGAGAGAGAGAGAGAGAGAGAGAGAGAGAGAGAGAGAGAGAGAGAGAGAGAGAGAGAGAGAGAGAGAGAGAGAGAGAGAGAGGGAGAGAGAGAGAAAGAGAGGGAGAGAGAGAAGGAGAGAGGGAGACACACACGCACACACCCGGAAAGACGCGAGGAATTAGTGTCTCCTAATAGCACTTGTATATACAGTCATTCTGATAACTTGCCATGGGAAGGAGACAGAAGATCGATCAAGGAGGAATAATTGACTTCGTTGTACAGCTTGCTGCGTGATTGGTCTCAGCTTCAAGCCACATCACTATAATGCTAGCAAGGTACACCACACTGGATGACTGCCCTTACCAGCGGAATATTGTTCACTCGCCCGCATGCTCCAAATCGCCAGGCATTTTAAAACACAAAACACACAGGCATGCAGACACCACAACCAACACATCCATAGCACATGCAACACATCCAAACACATGCAACACATCCATAGCACATCCGAACACATCCATAGCACATTCAAACACATGCAACATCGCCGCGCACAGCAAATGTAAGTTCAGGCCCGCTGGAACGAGTTCAGTTGGCCAGGTTAGCACTGGACCAATGCATGTTCACTGCTGAGGAGGGCATCAAAGTATACACAAAGTACAAAAGACTATGGTATGATCGGACCAATTGAAAACTGCTTCCGGCGGTCCTGATAAGTACCGTTAGAGAAGCGTTAGACAAGCGCTCTGCTAAGCAATCATGAGAAACTATCAAATCAGAGAACTTTCCATTGGGTACTGGCAGCAACATAGTGTCAGGTATAGTGTACTGGGGGTACTGATATGGCAGAAACAAATGAACTATGCGGATATTGACCATGGATTCCTTACCAATTTTGATCCTCGAATTCAGCATTGACATCATCTGTACAAGACAATGATGTGTATAATTATGATGTGTGTGTACACACTCGTGTCCACCAGGAGTAGACGCACACACATGGCAAATTCAACAAGAAGAAAGAAGAGGGAAAACTTCCATTAGCATACATCTTAGTTTGCAATACTACCATTTTGATGAAGGAAGACAGACCGAGAGAAGGGAGAGGAGGAGGGAGAGGAGGAAGAGGAGGCAGGTAGGATAAATAGCAGGATCGGGTTGATTGTCTTGGCACATCGTACACTGGAAATGGATATGTGCCCTTGTCAGTACAGCACCTTACCTTTTTGTCCAACTTCAACCAGTCACAAATGAACTTGTTTTGCCGGTCCATACAGGCCACACATTGATCAGCTGGACGGTACACAGAAGCGAATGCGTGTGCATAATGTTGGAGCCATCAATGCTTTTAAAACCGTTAAGCCAAAAATCATAGTGTTGGGCATAATAGTAATGCTGCAGTGCCCCTCAGTGATGGCAAATCCATTCAACATGACCCAGTTTTGCTTCCTTGAAATCTTAGAACACTGCGGCACCAGTGTGTAATTTATGATAGCATGCAACATGGCATCTGTGCACATGATGGGCTGGGCTTATCACAGTGGACTGAGCCCTGGCTGACACCACCCCAAGAGACACTGTCACGGTTTATTAACAAACCCCCGTGCACACACACACGCACCTATCCCTCAAACTCACAATACACATAACCAATAGTCGTCAAGCAAGCTGGCGCTGATGGCTCGGCTGATGCAAGCTTGCCACGACGCGAGTCTTCCTGCATATCGAACAAAACTAAGTGTGGTAAACACACACACACACACACACACACACACACACACACACAGCACTATTGCCAAGATCGCCAGGTGCCAGCTATAGCTAGGTAGGGGTGCAAGACAACGACAAGCTAGCACACATATCTTGGTAGTGGTAGTAGCATGGTACACAATTGAGACCAAACCGAAAGTATGCATACCAGAACAAAATGACGCACATCACTTCAACAAGGTCACAATCCCAACACTACACTGACCAAGGTCATTGTGCATCAGTTATAGTGAGGATATGGAGCCAGGCTCAGCCCACGAGTCCAGAAATATGACTACGGATGCAAGCGGCATCATCCAGAATGCGATGTGGCGGAGCATTGCGTAACTGCAGGGGGACACACAAACCAACTCAAAAGCACTGCGCAATAAGAATTGATGTACGAAAGCATGCACGTGATACCAAACCAAATGCATAGAATTCAGCCAAGCCATACTTTAGTCCTGCATGGGATAACATACAAATCACACACAGACACAAACAAGTTAGACATCATAAATAATGGAAACAATAAAGTATGAAAACAAGTTAGCAAATGAGCCTGAAGAAAGAAGTCTTCAAAAATATCCCTGTTCAGCTTCGGGCTTGTCCTCAAAATCCACATAAAACAACAATCTCCTTCCACTTCAACAAAACGGCACCCTGGGTACGTTCCTTCGCCTCGATCCTTCCATCGAAAAACACGACTGAGAGTACTACCACCAGCACACCTCTCAGAAAAATGTTAGCAAAAATGCGAGTTTGTGGCGCAAGTTTGGCGTTTAACTTCTCTAGTGCATTTCATGCACTACAGGGAATTGGAGGTCGATGGGAAAGTGAATATAGCAAGCATGCAGGGTACCCCTGACCTAGTATACACGTACACACGCACATGCACACAGCAGAGCACACAATTTCGGGCAACAATAATTGCTACCTAAAGGCATCATGTTTGCAGTAAACAGTGAAAAGAAAAGAGAGAATGGATTGAAGAGCAGTGGATGTGTAACAAAGGTATAAAATCATGTCATAAAGTGAAGTACACCATGCACCCCCACACACACATGCACAGTTTTCTATTCTAACTCACAGTAACCCAGGACTGCGGAATATGGCGGATGGTCGTAATGGTATCCCCACCTTACCCATTCCCCATGCTGTACTAAGTACAGGTCACACACAGACAGTGAACACAGATGACCAGCAAAACTGATCAACAGACTGAAGTTTATTCAAGAAAGAGAGAGGAGACAGACTGGCAGGACTATTCGCAATCCTGCCTGAGCTCACCATGCCTCGCACACACACCCGCCATACACCTTTTCCCACAGTCATGGCATGGCACATGTAAAAGTGACCACTCCATGTACCCAACCCTGGCCCCTGCACACAAAACAGAAGCCGCTCCACGCAGTGTTCAGAGAGTTTATTATGGGCACACCAGTATCACACCATACACACACACCTGGGCATGCACTATTCACTGTATGATACTCTACCCCATACCCATGACACATGGCTCAGCTGAACAGCCTGGGATTGCACTGCACGACTAGCTGCAATCCTCACAGCTGACCAGCACAACCATGCATCACACCCAACACTCAACACGAGAGCATGGGTTTGTTCAATCGACATTGGAAGCCGCACAGCATGCCCGCATGGCCACACCACACACACGCACGCCACAACACAAGTCCTCCCTAATGAAGCATGTGCACGACTTAACCACATAGCTCCAACAGGGAGGAGGAGAGAAAAGACAGGGTAGGACGCCAGAGGTAAAGACGGTGGACCACAAGGGTTCACCAGATCACACCGACACACAGGACGCAACTATTGCGCAAACTCGCAACGATGACCTGCAGTGACCTACGCTGATCTTGGTGAAGAAGCCTTGGAAATAATAAGAAAACGGAAATGATAAGTGTTCTGTTGTCATTGTGCCTATTCTATGCCTAGCCCAGTGCATGTTGTTATAGCCTCCAGTGTGTATGTCAGTAACAAAAGAAAGGTTATTCGGAAGAGAAGCACCTTCTGTGTGCAGTTGGTAACTATGGACCTCTCCAAGTGCACACCCCGCCCTACTCATCAGCAGATGTCCTGAAGGGCTGCTTCCCTAGTCTTAAGGCCCTCGTTGAAGGTCATTACGCGCGTGCGTTCCCAGTGACCTTGTGGTGACTACACTACATCTACGTGTTGACTCACGCGACACTGTCACAGACACTAGCTGTCTGGCAGTGACGGATACAACCCGATGTGTGGCCTGGACTTAGCTGTAACTGTGGAGATATTCTACAGCGACCTGATATCACACCTGATCTTGCTCTGAAGAAAGCGTAAGCGAAGGAGAAGCAAGTCCTGTTCTACTACCAGGTCCACACTTCCTTTCCTTCGCACCTGCCAGCGCATTGTCCAGTTTTCGAGTCCTAGAAATGTCATCTATCCTATCCCTCTAACCCTACCCTTACCTAACTCTCTACACTGCACTATCCTATATCCTATCTGACCTAACACCTGACCTAACACAGACTGCAGCACAATAATCTAGGCCACACAAGAAGAGCATAAAACAGGCGCACGCTTTGACTGGACAACTTTGCTCTCTACCTGCTGCGCATACACAAAATCGCCACTTTTTTTGTGGACATCGCATCTGCAATAGGGAGAGAAAAGATGGCCACATGGCAAGGTGAAGTATATTACATCAGTTGCATTGACGTTCCCATGCTGCCGTTGTTTGATCCAGGAGTGAGAGTGGTCACGAAAATCAAAATAAATGCATTGTACATGACGAATAGTGGCGTAGTTGTCCACCACCAGGATTGGATTGATCTTCACCTTACCATGCCCACCACAGACATGTCCATTCCTATCTACAATCCTACACGTTATGCCTGGAAAAGTAGTGGCTCAGCGTGTGCCCTAAGGTATCTCGGCCCTAAGCTAAGCCAGTTCGCACCCGGCTATGATCCATGCATCTGTCCTGGCCCTAAGCTAAGCCAGTTCGCACCTGGCTATGGTCCATGTATCTGTTCCTTGGCGTGTACCTATCTATAGTGCTAAGCCACTGG